GAGAAACCATAAAAAACACAACAGTAAAACACACTATAATCACTCAACGCTATCAGAATATAGTTTAACGTCTACTCGACACAAACTCGGGACTAACGTATGGTTAAATTGTATTTCAATAATTCGTTTGCCCGTATATGTCTTAAGCAATGGAAGGAAACCTGAGGAACTGGGGAAAACTTAAACTAAGATACAATCGAAATTTTAAGAAATACTGCAATTCGATTGGCTGACCAGTAAAATCAATTTGCATATATCCAATGAAGTTGCAGTATTTCTTAAAATTTCGGTTGTAACTTAGTTTAAGTTTTCGTGAATAAGGGCCCGGGAGAAACCCACGAGGTTGGACAGGCGATGCTACTCCTTGTCACAGACTCAATGACAGACCTTGTGATCTAAAGCACAGGTGGTAGACCATTCGACCACCGATACTAAAACATTTAGAATTTAATTTAAAATATCAAAATCAGATAGGATGTTTTGCTTCTTGATTTTAAAACCGTTTGAAGGGAGTAGGACATCTTGGATTTTGACCTTGCTGTAATTGATGGAAATTGATTGCCTTTGGGGTTGAACTCTTATTTAAGTTTAGTAAGCGGAAGTCTGCCGCTGTAAAATCTGTAATGTGGTCATCTCGCAAAACACATTCAGTTTCACACCTTCAGTTTCCAATCGAAGCAAAAGCATAAACCGACAAGAGTCTCTAATTTGCATAAAGTTACAGATTTGACAAAAGAAAATATTTCGTAATTAAGGCACGAACATAAAGAAATCAAAACCAATTTATTTTATTGTCAGGATACAAAGTAAAAGTAAATTTTTACCATCGTAATTGGTTTTATTCTAAAAGCTGTACTAGATTTCTTGTAAATCTATTTCAAATTTCCAGCATTCCAAATTACGAATTTTGGCGGAAGATGGTAATGATGCGGTTGGTTGGCTCCGTCTTTAAGGTAGAATACAAGGACCGTATAATTATATACAATTGTGGATTCCCTTCCTTAACTTAACATGTGGGGAAGGTAATTCATCAGCCTACTTCTTTAAGGTAAAAGACAAGGACAGTATAGTTCCATGTAAGTGTTGAGTCCCCTTTTTACGGTAAAATATTAGGATCGTACAAATCTAAACAATTGTGGGTCCCCTTCTTTAAGGTAACATAAAAGGAAGATAGTTCATGAGCCCCCTTCTTTAAGGTAACATATAAGGAAGGTACAGTTCATGTGGCCACTTCTTTAAGGTAAAATATAAGGAAGGTAGTTCATGGGGCCCGTTCTTTAAGGTAAAATATAAGGATCGTATAATTCCGTACAAGTAGGTGATAAATCTTTGTATTAAGTAACGAGTATTATAGTCCACGTTATTGAATTGTACCATCTGGTGAGAGGCTGACATTAGACGTCAACACACACACACAGGGTGGATCGATACTTCCAACTTTTATCTAATTAATTAGAGAGAAAAAAGTGGGCAATCTCTGCCAATTTATAACAATGATTTATTGTGTTAGTTTTCCACTTTTTATCGTGAAAAACACTTTGTCGTAGTTAAGTAGTCCGGTGCTACATATGGTTCTGCTAAGTCTAGCAAACAGGGGCTTGACAAATTGAAAGTTCCTGATAAATCCTGTTATGTCTTATGGCACCATTGCTTGTGTAAAATAGTTTTATGTCTGCTTCCACCGAAGTGATATCGCCTAGTATTTTAAAAAAAGCAAAACAGATCAATGTTTGTGATAACCATGCGTATATATAATATATAATAAGAGTGAAATAAAATAACATTTGCCTAGGTCTAGTGGATTGAATAGCAGGACGGCGCAACCCATCATTGGAGTTTTTTTGGTCACTCAGTAATCTGTTCTACTCTTCCTTCTATTTTGTCGGCTCGTATTTTAGTACCTGGTTTTTGTCCTTTGTTTGTTTGTCCATTTCTTTGTTGATGGTTCGCTGAAGGTATTTTTATCAGTAGATATACCACATAAGTGGTGACCAGTGTTTTAGAAAAGTAAAGCTTATCAATGGATGGACGAATGGTTAGCGCGTGTGCGCTGCATCATAAGGTCTGTCCTTGAGTCAACTGGCCTGGTTTCGATTCTCCGATTGTGCGTGACAAGGAGTAGGGTCGCCTGTCCAACCTCGTGTGTTTTCTCCGGGTCCTCTGGTTTCTTCTCACTGCTAAAGACCCCTACGTGCAATTTTATTTTGAAATAAAAATTGAACCATTTGTCAGTCCCGAAATGACCTAGTTTGTGTCGAGTGGGCGTTAAACCCTCCCTCTCTCTCTCTCTCTCTCTCTCTCTCTCGCTCTCTTTAATTGAAATGAATCACTTTTTTTGAACATGTATATCATAATTGTACCGCTATTGGATAGAAGACATCGTCCAACAACATATTCCTCCATTGGTTTAAATACAATAACAGGTTTTTAAATGTCTGAAGTCTCGGGAGTAGTGGTGTTAGGTGTTTATCACGAGTCGATCAATCAAAATCTGGCTCAGTGTATAAGGCGATGGCTTACTAATGTAGCGGATTCCAACCCGATTTCGGCCGAGAGAGTTGGTTAAGTAGATCGTGGATTTGGCAACGTCAGTCAATATGTGATATTCTAAAGTATACAACAAAATTTTAGCGAGATGATGCTGATAGAAAAGTATATAATATATATTTTTAAAAATATGAACCCTGTTATAACTAACACCTTTACTTAAGCCGTTTGAAAGTTTGTCTATGCGTGATGTTTTAAAGATAATTTTCTGAAATTAACTATTGGTCTTCACAAACCTATACAATACTCAAACGGCGTCTTCTACTGCCAAACTCGCCTTTGAACATTCAATTTCGACTATGTTATAAATTTGTGCGCTTAGAGCATCAAGGAGGAATGTAATGAATTATCTTTAAAACAGCATTGAGGCTTCCGCTTAAATGAATAACTTGCAATATCCGTCAGAGAAACGGCGGGAATTGCACATAAACCCCATGTATCGTGGAATAAAAGTCCATGTTGCCGATGCTAGATATTGCGTACCAACGAAGTAACATGCTGGGTGCTACAGGTCAATCAAGAAAACCTATATATCCCCACACGAGACGACATAACGACCTCTTTTTTTTACTAATAAATTTGTGACATTGACATTTCAAGAAAACTTCATTACGAAAAAACTGTTCTAATTCCGTCTATAATTTTAAACAGACTATAAGTAATGTTATCTTCCTGGTTTTAAGTGTGTTGACAACCAGGAGATTTGTTGACAAAAGATATTCATTGCGCGTGTTCTAATGGTGCCGTAATGTGTTTATGCTATCTACTGGGTCAAAATCAGAGCACCTGGATACCTGCCTCGATCATTATGAAATTAATTTGTAGAATGTAGGCCGAACCCATGTAATGTGAATTATTGGGAGTTTTGATATCTAGTACTTAAGTGTTAATAGTAACAAAAGATATTGGGGTTTTGGCATTGGGGTTTTTGGCCTTGTGGTTAGTCCTAATAAAATACATTGGGGTTTTGTTCTAATACAAGACATTATTGGAACTAGTGTTCTAATGCAAGACATTGAGATTCGGATCACTGACTTTTATTTTAATACAAGATAATGGAGTTTTGTTCTTGGGTATTGGTCATTGGGTTTTGTTCTAACACAAGACACTGAAGTCATTCGAATTTGTTCTCATACAATACATTGGGGGTTTGGTATTGGGTTTTGCCCAAATGCAATACATTGGGGGTTTGGTATTGGGTTTTGTCCTAATACAATACATTGGGGGTTTGGAAATTGTTTTTTTTATCCGTTTACGGTCGGGTTCTAAAGAAACAAATACCCGAATCACTAAACACGTAGCATTAATGGTATTAACTCTGTAATTACCACAGTTTGGCTTGATTATTTACAATATTAAACACAGTGCGATTTTCAACTTTTCAAAAAGTCAATATTTTCGCGACTATATTTTCACATTACTGCAATTTATTGGCGTTTACGTTGAACATGGCATTCACGTCATTGACAATAACTTGAACCTTTGCTCTCTTATAACCAGAATACAAAGTAGAATTGAATTAGATTTGTAAGTCTAATTAAGAATGCATATCTACGACACCGCATTTTCGCTGTTTTGATTTTCGTGTGGTGATTTGCAGGTTATTTGTGACATAAATAGCAGATTTTAAAAGGTAGAATCCAGAGTTCGATTTTGATATTCTAGAAAAAACTTGTTGTGGGTGTTCGTGTGAAGAACTTTAATATGAATGGTAACACTCTTAAGTGTGTACCTCCAGAAAGTGTTAGCGATGTGAATAACGAGAGGCGTTCGGGGGATGAATACCTCACACAACTCTTTATACTTTAGTAAATTAACACTGTTAATTTTTAAAATTCCGTTGTAAAGTGTAAGGTCTTCCTGGATAATCAGATATTTGGGATAAAATCGCAAACTTCGTCATTTAACAATGGTAAATCATTGCTAATTGTATCAAGGTCCTGGATAATCAGGTATCTGAGATAAGATTGAAGTTCGGGACAGTATACTTTTTTTTAAATTGCTTGCTTCCTAGTTTCAGTTAGCAATATTTTCGTATTGGGCAAACTTTTTATGGGAGTATGGGCCTAACATAAACAATTTTGATTTTTTATTTCATATAGAGATAAAATTACTCATCAATTTTCAGATGTAGTTAAAGGCTCTGATTGGCTGGATGGGTTCATTCAGTCGTGGAAGTTGACGTACGCTTCCACCTTTCCAGATATCGCAGACAAAAGTGTGTGCTACGGACTGACTTGCCCTTTGTACTCGATTTTTCGTGAAGGTCTTGAACCTTAAGAGACGTTTTAGGACTAAAGTACAACCTCACTTCGCATGACAACACGTGTCAGCCGAACTGGTTTTGTTTTTTTGGGTTTTATTGTTTGTTTTTTTATGGGTTTTATTGGGGTGTTTTTATGGGTTTTATTGGGGTTTTTTTTCTTATTATGTCTGTATTTCTATTGTTACAGAATGTTGCTAAACAGATGGGATTAGATACCAGAAAAAGTTCTTCACTGTGGAAAGATCGAGCTCTTGTAGAAGTTAATATTGCCGTCTTACACAGTTTTCAGGTAAAAAAAAAGATTCATTTGCTTTAATAGTCGTATATAAAAGAAAAGGAATTTGCTCTATCATGATGATAATAGATTAATCTTGAGCAAACTTTCAAAGTATATTTCAGCTTGAACTATAATAGAATAATCGCCAGTATAAAACATAATAACATATTATTTTAACTGGCACAATGTATGATAATATGAATAGAGTCATTGTTCATATTGTCTTATTCTACAAAATCAATAGACGTATTAACAAGACTGCTAATATTTATAAATCTCTCATTTTTCTGGGTAAATAATCATTGAATAATAACCATGTATAATAGGATTATAAAAGAAGCTATAGGATTAATGTCTCTAGCCATGTTCATAATAAACAACAGTCCAGACACAAAAGTAAATTCAGACATCCTTGTTGCAACTTTTATTAATCCGTTATTGTTCAGACAGAGATTAGGATAGAAACATGTGCTGACGTACATATGACCTTTACTTAATTATCAGATATGGACGAACATTCATTTAACTAAAAGATATTATCATTTATCGACTAAAGATAACCAGCAAATAAAGTCAAGTAAATTAATAAAAGATATAAAATATCATAATTTGGTTTAAATAACAATATCTGATATTACTTACCCAAAAAAATACCAACTAATACCATCGTTTGATATTACTTATTTAAATTAATACCAACTAATGCCAAGAAATATCAAGTAATTTAACAAGTAATTTGTGAAATATCAAGTAATTTATGATAGATTACTTCATTAGCAAAATATCAAGTAATTACTGAAATATTGAATAATATCAATTAATTGGTGAAATATCATGTAAAATATTATTTTTACAGACTTCAGGAGCAACTATAACAGATCACCACTCTGCATCAGAATCGTTCATGAAACATCTTGAGAATGAACAGCGACTACGTGGTGGTTGTCCTGCTGACTGGGTCTGGGTTGTTCCCCCAATGAGCGGATCACTTACTCAAGTTTTTCACCAAGAAATGCTACTTTACAAACTGAAACCTTCGTATGAATATCAGGTAATCTCAAAAGTGTATCATAATTCTGAAGAAAACTAGCAATCTTGTATCTTTGAGAATTGCTGATTGTATACCAGCCAACTCGTACGCCCGGCATCAAGGCAATATTTGCATTCCATCATCTAAATTGAAACATTAGTACTCAAAGCACAATTAGAAACTCACCTGTTCAAGCAAACGTTAAGCGTCTATATAATTACTTACTTTTGAAAGCGGAGGGTTGGGCGGCCGAATGGTTAACGCGTGCTGTTTGGATCATAAGTTCTGCCATTGAACTAAGTGGTGTGGTTTCAATTCCCCACTTGTAGGTGACAAGGAATTGGGTCGCCTGACCAACCTCAATGGTTTTTTCAAGGTCCTCCGCCCCCCTCCCACCCACCGCTAAAGACCTAGTTTGTGCCGAGTGTACGTTAAACCCATCTCTCTCTCTCTCTCTCTCTCTCTCTCTCTCTCTCTCTCTCTCTCTCTCTCTCCCTCCCTCTCCTTTTAAAAGCGCTGTGAGCTGGCCAAAGGATGAACGTCTTCATTACTGGCCAACTCCCAAAACGAGAAGTAGGCTATGAGGTATTCTAGGAATATTAAATAGGAAGATTTCATGCTTCATGGATACTGTAATTTTACTTGATATTAGACACTCGTACAAATCATATCAATCCATTAGACTGTTAACAAAATAAATGTATTTTTTGAGAAAAAGCTATGATTTGAACTAAATTGGTTTTAATTTGTAGTCAGAAGTTTTACAAGAAGACACCAGATAAATTGTTTATGGGGCATATAGTAACTGGATGAGAATAACACATGCCACAATTATATGGAATACAGGTTACTTAAAGAGTTTATTAAGCGACGTTTCGACGAGGGTTCTCCCGTCTTGCTGGATAAAGACGGGAGAACCCTCGTCAAAACGTCGCTTAATAAACTCTTCAAGTAACTTGTTTTCCATATAATTGTGTCATGTGTTATAATACACCAGATGTTTGATGTATTTTCTTTTTAATGCCTAATATCCTGTTTTTGTTTTAATTAGGAGGAAGCATGGAAGACACATATATGGAAGAAAGACCGGGATAAAACCAAATCTTCAGACAGACCTAAACGGAAATTTGGATTTAAAGAATTAGCTAGGTAAAAGAATAATTGAAATAATTATTGTATCATAAATTATAAACCTTGAGAAACATTTAGCAATTGATTTATGATATAATACTAGAACACATTTTATATGGATACAATCATTTGGTTTATTATACTGCAACGTTTCAACACGATTTCACAAGTTGTTTTCAAGCAAATACCTAATGTACACGATTTCACAAGTTGTTTTCAAGCAAATACCTAATGTACCTAGGTATTTGCTTGAAAACAACTTGTGAAATCGTCTTGAAACGTTGCAGTATAATAAACCAAGTGATTGTATCCATAATAAGTGTTCTAGAATTATATCATAAATTAGTATGTTGATGTTAACTTTGGACATCATCGCTACATTAACTGATTTTTCACGATAGCCTAACGCTACTGTAAAAAAGTAAATTTTTGATTTTCAGAATTCTAAAATTCATTGTTTTATTTGGAAATAGTGTAAAGTCTTTAACTTTCTGCTATATTTGAAAAGAGCGCTTAAAAAGATGTAAAGTTTTAATTATCCAGAATTGATGACTTGTGTGCTACATTTTAACGTTAATTGTGTATAAAATAAGTAAATTCTTAATTTTTCAGGGCTGTGAAATTCTCTGCTAAGTTAATGGGCAAGGCTTTAGCTAGAAGAGTCAAGTGTACCATTCTTTATGCTACAGAAACCGGTAAATCAGAAAGATTTGCTCGAACTCTCTGTGAAATTTTCAAACATGCATTTGATGCAAAGGTGAGTATGTAGATTAACTTAGCTTTAGTAGATGTCATGGTGAGAAATTATCTAATTAAGGTAGAAAAAAAAGGGAACAGCTGTATATTTGGATCTGAATCTTTAATTTATTAAAATAACAAGAGAACGCAGCCATCAATATCTACCGCCATTGTGTACCGGAAACTCAAAACATTATTAAATCCAAGAGATTACTGAGATGAAATGAAATGGGATTTAACGTCCTACTGTTTTGCTCCTACAGGGCTAATGAAGACGGGCATACGCCATACAGTGTACTATGAGGATTATTCCCAGGCAGCGGCACTATGGCCTACTCTTATATCGAATTCCAACTGGCAAGGGATCTTTTTCGCACACGCCAATGTATACACGGGACCTTGGTTTTTCGTCCCATCCGTACGACTAGACTGCAGTCCTTGTCAGGCCCTCCGTCCTGCACCACTGACAAGGGAGGAACCACGACGGAAAATGTCTTATATTAAATGAATGCATAACGACTTATAAATACTGTTATTTAAGTGTACGACTTATAAATAATGCTATGTATTAAGTGAATCTATAACGACTTATAAATAATGTTTTGTATTAATTGTATTGTAGGTCGTATGCATGGATGAATATGACGTCACTGTGTTAGAACATGAAAATTTAGTATTAATTATAACCAGTACTTTTGGTAATGGTGATCCCCCAGAAAATGGAGAGGTACGACTTCTTTATAGATTTTTCAATATATATCTTACCACTTTTCATTATGAGAATTGTGTCAAATATCCTACCATTTTTCATTATGTAAATTTTTCATGTGATTTTGCAGAATTGGTCTAGTGAAATTTAAACATTGGCTAGTGGGTAGACAAAATCCATTGCGCTTTCAAGACGATATATCACAATATACAATTTGCAAGACCTTTAAATTTGGATTCAATATAATAAGAAAGAAACAAGATGGTGTCATGTGCCATTGTCATAGAATTTTGCCAATTGACATCACACTGAGAACAATATTTATGTGCTCTGAGCATACTTTTGTTACGAATATAAATATCATTAATTGATTTGTGAGGGTTTTTTTTTTATTTTATTTACAGATTTTTGCTAAAAGTTTATTTGAAATCAAGACTCATGATGAGTCATCTGCTGAGTAAGTTTAATATGCCTTACTTCCTTATTCCTTTGTACTTGTCGTTCTATTTCATTTGCCAATTGGTCTTTATTTTGTTTACGGCATTTAAAATATTCATACTTAATAGACTGGCTCTTGGAAAACATATTACAGAACTAAATACCTACTATTTGTAGGCTTATTAGTCGCAAAATTAACCTAAATAAAGAGTCAGTCCGACCATTTAAACTTTTTAAATTAATTAAGGAGCTTCTAATGTGTATAATGGGTTTTTTTATTGGTTTTTTTTTATAGAAGTGACTTCAAGTCATCGTCGTACATCAGAATGAGTTCTTCAAGTGATAAGAGCATAAAAACGGCACATGATAATAAAGGAGTGGACGAGAAGCACGGCGAAGATGATAATCTATATATGGAAACGGGGCCATTAGCAAATGTTAGGTAAGTTAATAAAAGAATTACTAGTTGTTTTTATTAACAACTTTGTAGACTGTAGGTGGTGCAGTTTCAGATGTTCTGTGATTTCAATACATTATATATTAAATTAAATTGCATTACATTATATATTAAATTAAATTGCATTACATTACACATTAAAATGTATTACACATTACATTATACATTAAATTACATTGTATTACGCATTTAATTGCATTGCATATGATATTGCACATTACCATTATATTACACATTAAATTTGATATTAGATTATACATTACTTTGGAATATGGTTTGGGGATCACGTGGCTAAGTGGGTAAGACGCTAGCTCGCTAGCCTGGAGGTCGGGTGTTCGATCCCTGCATTGGCCGAGAAAGTTCATCCAGATTTTCCGGCGTGGTTCTCCCTTGTCAGTGATGCAGGACGGAGGGGCTGACAAGGAAAGCTGTCTAGTCGTTCGGATGGGACGAAAAACCGAGGTCCCGTGTACACATTGGCGTGCACGTAAAAGATCCCTTGGCAGTTGGAATTCGATATAAGAGTAGGCCGTAGTGCCGCTGTCCGGGCAAAATTTCCCTCATAGTACACTGTATGGCGTATGCCCGTCTTCATTAGCCCAGGTTAGGAGCAGAACAGTAGGACGTTAAACTCCATTTCATTTCATTTCATTTTGGAATATGGTTGATGTCAGTTTCCCAGAGTCTTTCTGAGAATTCGTTTCACTGTGTTTTTGCTCTTAATAAGTGTGTTGATGACAATTTGTTTCTTTACTGAAACAATATGTTTAATTGCCTTCTATTTGATATCGTTATGTGTGTTTGTGATACTTCGTATATTATATATTTTAAATGCCGAATCTGGTCTCCATCCTTCGTCATGTTTAAAAAATTGAATTTCAATAGCACACCCTCAACACCAATTGTGAGTACATGCGTATTCGTTCAAGTTGTGACTAATTTATAAAAGAGAAGCCTTTTTATGTGCTGTCACATTTGATATTTATTACAATTTACAGAACACTCTTTTAAACATTTTCCATTTTTGTATTTACACATAATTGAATATCTTTAGTCTAAGTTTCTCTAGATATAGTTTGTATAATAAAAAGTACAAAAACAGAAAATAATTGTTTGGATATTTCCATAATTACTGGTATTATATTTGTAATAAACATCTAATGGGGTGGATATCTGGAATAGGTGGCGCCAATAATCGTGCGTAGTTTTTGTATAGAGTTTTCAATGAACCAGCGGAGCATTACTGGAAACATGAAACTCGCATATTATTTGTGAAACGGCTTAAGTCTGTTCTGTTGAACGAGGTTTGATAATCGTGCACCAGTTTAATGGAGAGGGTACTAGTCTCGATCGCTCCAGGCTAAATATTGTAGAAGCGAGGGCTATTTGAACTGGGTAATCGGGGCGAAAGTTATTTAACCTTAGAGGGTTAGGGGGTTGGGGGGGGGGGGCAGTAAAAACAGATGAGCCCCCAGATCCATTCACTTTATTTGATATTTGTTGTTTATTTCTTCCAATATATATGTATTCTGTCTTGTCCGCAGGTTTATCTTGTCGATTTTGTTTTGCGTTTAGTGCGGTTTTCCTGCACTTACTATGAGAGATATTTTCATTTTAGGCTACACGTAACTTCATTTCTGAAAGTGCGTTCCAGAATATATTAAATCGATGATTCAAATTCGTCAACTCCGTGCAATAGTGCTCAATTGAAATATTCCAATATTCCAGTAGTACTCAGAACTCGGGCAAAGCAATCCACTATCTTTAACTCCGACCGTTTTCAATTTATAACGTGTCCAATGCTTTATTCGGTCAAGCTCGTCCTGTGAATGGAAACGCCACGCTATTTCTCTGTGCTGGGAAAGTAATCAGCGCGATCTCAATGAATTGTTAAACGAGGCCATTTATGTGGATCAGTAGAGAAGTAATAATTATTTTATTTTCCCCGAAGGAGTTTGTGGTTTTTGTGTCTTTCAATGCAATGTCCAAGGCCAATATTACTAGATTTGTCAATACTTTAAGTAGTGGATTAGAAATTTGGAGCATTTTACATAAATCACACTGAATCTCTGTTGATATGTCGTGTTTTTTCTTGTAACAAATACCATTTTGTTTTTGCAAACATTTGCTGTATAGTAATATAGGATATTTAAAGTTAGTCGAATTGAGTTGGGATTTTTTACGTTACAAAACCAATCTGGGGGATGACATGTGTTGATTATTTTGTACATGGCCGCTGATTTGCAGTACTGTAGAGTACTATAGTGTCACCACGGCTCAAAAGATTTATCTATATCAACCACATCAATGCCCTAAAACCAGCAATGTCGTTCTATGAAAAGGCGTGGGATTGGTGTATTATAATTTTGCGATATCATCGCATTATTACAATTTAACTAAAGTTTCACCACGATTCCAAGAATTATCAACCGTATGCCCGAACAGCAGTAGAGAATTTCTGTGAAAACGTGTGGGATTTAGGGTATTGTAATTTTGCGGCATCGTCGCATACATGACAGATAATAAATAGGTCGGAGGTATTTCGTTGCTAAGTAACTACGCCCTTTGGGTTACTAAGTCGGTGTATCCACATCAAATGCACATTAGTCAAGGCAGATACGTCACTCTTGATTTCTCAATGTTCCATAACATTATATTGGACATAATACACACACTTACGTCACCATAACTACTTTTTGTATAATGAATATTGAGAAATCAAATTAACAGTGTAAACCTCACATTTATTTTCCCATAATATGTATCCTAATATTTTCATTAACAACAAACTCTACATTTCCCGGGTAAATTGATATTCCCAGCAGAGAACACATATCTACATGGTAACAAAACAATTCTATACAGTTGGGTAGAATCTTACAATAATGCCAACTCGGTTAACTTTGTCGTTTTCAACTTCTTCCGGTGAACGACTTAATAGATTTCAAGCAAATTTGGTAGGTATGGTACTTATTGCCTGGTGGTGCTTATTCAGAATGTGTCAAAGAAGTCAGTCGAACTGATCTAGACGAGGGCTTTCAAAAAGAGAAAATTTAGACATCTCAACTCATTTTCAAAATCTACTCCGTTCTCGGCGGCAATGACGCAGTGGGTGCACATTAAAAGTGAAAATTTAGACTTGATCGCAAATTTAGTAGATTTTTGTTTGTTTGTCGGTCCTCATTCAGATTTATTCAAATAAATTTGATTGGTCCCATAGGGGCGGAGCAGTGGTACATTAAAAGGGGCAATTTTGCTGCTAATCCAAGAACAAGCAAATGTTGACAGAGAAATTATTAAGATATTGATAGTTTAATTCCATTCTGTGATGGTCGATTTAACTTACTTGGGCTATTATTTTACACCCATTTCTCAATGTCAGAATATTCGAATGGTGTAGTATGGTGTCAATCACTGGATTTTTTGTCTGTGATATTGATAGTCATTCGGGTGGGTCGAAAAACAGGTCCTGTATACACATAGGCACGCACGTAAATAAATGATCCCTTGATGGTTGGAATTCGATATAAGAGGGGGTCATAGCGCTGCTGTCCGGGCATAATGTGCCTCATAACACACTGTATGGCGTATGTCGGTCTTCATTAGCCCAGTTGGAGCTGAATAGCAGAGCAGTAGGCCATCAAACCTCATTTCATTTTATTTGACTATGATATTACCGTCAGTGGAAGAGGGTGTTAAAGGACAATATTGGTGTCAGTCATTATTACATATGTGATAGAACTGGTTAAATAAATTCCAAATATAATTTCAACACAGAGATCATTGCTATGGGAGATGTGTAACAAGCACGTGAAGAAACGGGAAGTGACGCCAAACATGAGACAAACACGAGTTATCCTTCTATATAACTTACTGAAGTAACGAGCGATAACAGACAAACGATCGAATTTCATTTCATTGATAGTTCCGTTTAAGATGAAAAGTTATTATATGGGACGGCGAGAGGGAGGTTATCTCACAATTCAAAAATAGAATTGGCTGTCACTAGATAAGGGAAAACGAGAAAAATAGAAAAATCCCGTGCATTCCCCCGTTTTTATTCATTCTGTTCTTAATAAAAAACATGGTAATGCACGGAATTTTTCTAATTTATTCGTTATCTCCCGCAGCAATGATCTCTGTGTTAAAATTATATTTAGGAAGTATTTAACCAATTCTATCACATATTTTATAATGACTTCACCAATATTGTCCTTTAACCCTGCGGCATGAATCAACCAACTTCAACTGACGCAAATTATTGTGATATTTAGCTATAAAGTCCTATTCAATTAATTGATATCTTCCTTTTCTGTTTGTAGATTTTCTGTGTTTGGGCTAGGGTCTAGAGCCTATCCTAACTTCTGTGCCTTTGCTAATTACATGGACAAAATGTTGAGTGAATTGGGATCAGAGCGCATTTATAAAATGGGAGAAGGTGATGAACTCTGTGGCCAGGAAGAATCTTTTAGAAACTGGGCTCAAGAAGTGTTCAAGGTAATATAAATATCATTTTGTTTTTCAGTCTTGTACCAAAAGGCTCACAGGAAAAGTTCCATTTATGAATTTTGTGGTTTTGATTTTTGGATAAAACTCCATTTATTAAAATATTTTTGGCTTTGACTTTTGGGATAAAGTTCCATTTTGTACTATATTTAGTTTTGATTTTGGGATTAAGAGTGTAATTTGTCAGTTCCGGGGAGATGGTGGAGATGTCAGCTTTTCATACCCACTGAAAGCTTGACGGATCCAAAAGAGATGAGCACGTAAAGCATATCATAATATAATAACCAATGAATTGGACTTTAAAATTGTCAGAAGAATAGGGGTTGAATAAATCCCGTTTCATTTTATTTTAGTTAGGATCGTAATAAAGAATAACAACATAAAAATCCATTGTCCTATGACTTCCTTTATTCTGTTCATTTAATCCGTTTGTCTTAGACAAATCACTTCTCTTATTCCCAATTAACAAAATTATTTACGAGTGCTTCTTTTAAATTACGTCACAGCCTAATGACATCTCTGTCTTATAATTTAGTCTGCGTGTGAAGTATTTTGTCTGGGTGATGACGTCAATATGTCCGAGGCTACAGGAGCCTTGTCCAGCACAGATCATACATGGCAACCTGATAAATTCCGATTGACTCCCATGGATAATGAGAAGGAAATCGATTTATGTGAAGGTAATTTGGTTTATAATCATTTATCCTTCAAAGAATGATGAGTATTTTGAGAAACCGATTAATGTAATTGTATGTCTCAACTACGTTCGTCGTTAAGTTGGACAGAAAAGCAATGACCACATAGTCCGATTTCTAAATTACCTCGTATTGTTTACTTCGACAAGATTTTGAATACATAAATACAAAAACATGTGTTAGCTTTATAAACTGATACTCCAAAAATAGATGTTAGCTTTATAAATTTTAAATTGATAATCCAAAAACACGTGGTAACTTTATTGGTTTCTAAAATTGATGCCCCAAAATAAAAATAAAACAGAAAACAGGTTTTAGCTTTTTAAACTTCTAAAATGATACTCAAAAACATGTTTTAACTTTTAATATGATACTCAAAAAAAACCAACATATTTTACCATTATAAACTTCTAAATGGATACTCATATAATGGTTTTAGCTTTATACCTTTATGATATTTAATTCCACAATGGCCTTATCTTCTCGTCCTTAATCCCAATTTAAATTTCGCTCCAAGAAAATCACCGGAAGATTACAATATTATATTACATAATTTAATCTGAGTTATTTCCATATATTGTAGCATTGTCTAAACTACATAGTAAAACTATTCTACCCTGTAAAATGATGGAAAGAAAACAATTACAGTCTACAGAATCTAAGTAAGTATACCTGTTAATAACCACGAAATTCTTGAACATCCAGCCCAAAATCATATTTAACACAACGGTGCATGTATACTTTATTTGCATTGAGTAAAACCCTACCTAGTAACTTTAATATCCACGTAATTCTTGAACATCCAGACCAGAAATACAGAAGTAAACATATGCATTTCTGAGCGTGGATGTGTCAATATAGCGATGCATGCATACTTAATTTTCTTAGAGTAAACTCATAACATACGTTTACCGACAATTGCTTAATGTACTCAGTAGACTAACGTATCTCTGTTAGTTAATGACCATGAATTTTTTTTACATCCAGAAATAAGCAGACATTATGCAGTGTAGACGTGAATATAAAAGTACATGCATACTTTATTTGCATAGCGTAAAACCATACTATACCACCACAAACAATACGTTACCGTATTATATGAACTCTTACATCTGGTGCTACTTAGAGATAAACAAGAGATATTATACGAGAGGGTTGCGTGTCACAGAGCTATAACAGTTGGTGTCATTAAAAGCTGAATGATAGCTACAAATTATTTAGACTTGAATAGCGGATTGCTACTTTCGCTTCAATGTGTAATTTAGAAATTGGCGTTATCATAAATAAGGGGTCGGGGTTATTTTCAAAATATAACCGCCCGAAGTGAAGCATCAATGTTCTTTTAATCATGGAATCATCTTTTCTTAAATCATAATCAGTAATTGTAGTGTTTCATCCTGATCGAGAAATCCTGCATGATAGTTTCCTTTATTATAGTCACTGATCGTCGTTTGATTTTTTTCGGACAATATCTAATTCTCCATGACACAATCCACCCCAAGATATACTCAGATTGATAATTCATTATTTATTTATTTAATGAAGAAAATAAGAATATCTACGATAGAGAATCGGGTTGAAAAAAAGACCACTAAATATTGTATCTATGTGGTACTGGCTTGTTGAAATTGTTTACAGAAGCTGCTGAATGCTGCACAATTTTCTGTTCATCATATCTTTGTAACGTTAGGTCTAAATATTAAGGCCAACTGTCAAAGGTCACGGGATGTAAACAGGGCTAGCGCTAACCCTAGCACTAACCCTAGCCCACAATCTCGTCAACAATCACGTGCCGTAAACCCTATTGACAACTCGCTACCTTGACGAAATCTGCAGTTGTCCTTAATATTTAGACCTGACCTTTGTAATTACTTTAAGAACTGAACCACTTTTGAACAGTTGTTCCCTTTAAAGTCTCCGCTTTAACAATACAGTAGTTTGCAAACCCAAAGGATCCAAAATCAATGGCTTTATTGACCACATTTAACAATTCTACATACTTTATTTATGATATAATTATTTAATTGTAGTCGTGAAACTATTCTACTAAAGATGGACACCCAAGGAGCATCAGAATTATTATACATGCCTGGTGACCATGCTGGTATATTTCCCGCCAACAACCCAGAACTGGTGGCCGCCATCTTAGCTCGACTACACAATTCACCCCCACCAGATCAGTTAATACGTCTAGAATTCTTGACAGAAAAAAACATGCCTTTAGGTAAAGTAAAGTATTAATGTGGTTTAAAATATAGAAACCTAGAAAAAATAATCAAGGAACACATGCAGATCCCTAATCTTCATAAAAAACGTAATCTTTATGTCTGACATGAATGTTTCCAGGGCATTTGTACAAAAATCTCTAGAATAATATTAATAAAGAGATCAATTTTTGCTTAATCCATTTCATTTTCTTTTTTTCTTAGGAACAATAAAGAGTTGGGGACCATATGAAAAGATGCCAGTTTGTACACTAAAGACTGCCTTCACGCGCTTCCTTGACGTCACCACGCCACCGTCACAGTCTCTCCTTCAATCATTGGCTGCACAAGCATCACGTGACACAGACAGGGAACAATTAGAACTATTAGCGACTGTAAGTTGAGATTGAGAAATAACATAAACTTATATCATTACCTTTGATACCGAAGATTTATTTATAGAATACCCAGAGAAGGTCTAAGAACACGAAATGAAATAAAATGGGGTCCTATATTTCTTCACTGACTGGGCTAATAAAGATGAGCAAACACCAGGCAGTGTACCACGAGAGAAATGTTGCCCAGGTAGCGGCGCTACGGGCTACGGCCTACTCTTATATCGTCAAGGATCCTTTTTACTTACACAACAATATGTACACGGATCTCCATTTCTATTCCCCGGCGTGGTTCCCCTTTGTCAGTGATGCAGGACGGAGGGCCTGACAAGGACAGCTGTCTAGTCCTTCGGATGAAACGAAAAACCGAGGTCCCGTGTATACATTGGAATGCACGTAAAAGATCCATTGGCAGTTGGAATTCGATATAAGAGTAGGCGATAGTGCCGCTGCCCGGGCAAAATTTCCCTCATAGCACACTGCATGGTGCATGCCCATCTTCATTAGCCCGGCATAGGAGCAGAACAGTAGGTCGTTAAACCCCATTTCATTTCATTTCATTTCCATTTCTATTCCGATCCGAACGACTATGAACTTTCTCGGCCAACACAGGGATCCAACATAAAGTTTTACTCACTAGCCCAGTCGGAGCAAAAAATAAAATAGAAAACTAAACTCCATTTCATTTCATGTCTTACTCACTGAGACACCGCGACTACCTTTGTTATGTGAAAGAAACGTCAATAATCTGTGATGTATCAATTCTATGTCCCAATGAATATACTTTTGATATATTCTGAGTTCGTAAAAACCTACAATAGAACCGATATAAGTAGGTCAGTTCTTAGTTAGGCTATTATGGTATTGATAGTTAAAATAGAAATAGGTCTAATTAAGATTAATCAAGAATTAAAGGAAATGAAATGAAAATGAAATGGGGTTTTACGTCCTACTGTTCTACTCCGACTGGTCTAATGAAGACGGGCATACGCCATACAGTGAGCTATGAGGGGCATTCCAACTGCCAATAGATCTTTTACGTACATGCCAATGTATACACGGGACCTCGGTTTTTTGTCCCACCACCCGAACGACTAGACAGCTGTCCTTGCAAGGCCCCCCGTCCTGCACCACTGACAAAGGGAAACCACGTCCGAAAATCCCTATGAACTTTCTCGGGAATGCAGGGATCGAACACCCGACCTCCAGGATAGCGAGCGAGCGTTTTAGCCACCGTGGCTCCCGACTCTTAAAGGAGCTAAACTTCGACAAAGACAAAGCTTTCCATAATTTTCGAAATTAAATACACGAATCTGAATTCAATACGGGTCCATTTAAATCAATGTTGATGTTGTTATCTTGCTGTGAAAATATGAGGTCGTAATATACAATATTTAAGACACTTTGAACATTTATGATCAATCCACCAGGCATGTGTACTCTATGGTTTTTGTAATGAACAAAGTAGTGATGGCTGATTCACAAACAACAAAATAATATCAAAAATAACTTATACGACTGCCGTTCGATTTGGACTGTTCACGTATTTCACCAAGCATAACTGATCAGAAATTACAATAAAAAATTGATATACAAATCACTTTATATACATTAATATTTCATTAAGATGTACCTTTAGACCCATTTTTGTCTATTTTAAGAATCCAAGCAATAGAACCATATGCCCTTTAAATACGATGGGTTTTTGTTTCAAAGAATTAGCTACATTATAATCCTCTGTTGCAGTTAACCAATAAAGTAACGATTTAAATAGGAACCCTATATTGGAATTAGCTTCATATAATCGTCTGTTTTTGTATTTGTATAGATGTTTATAATCTGACCAAGCTAATTGATGAAATTTGTCAATAAATTATATAAATTAGCCAAGAACGAAATGGGCTTCCTGGTAATTTTCTGAAATAATACGACATTAATTGTTTATATTTTTAACATTTATTACAAGGTTAACTATGTTATGTATGTTTGGATTTAAGACAAGACCACCCATAGTGGGGTTGGTCGGCAATGCTAACATAACATTCTAATTATAATATTATAACATTATAAGTATATTCTAATTATAATATACTATTCAAAAAAAGTAGGGGATATTTGATTTTTAAGTGTTATTAAAGTCACCTAATGAAACTGACGAAGAAACAAATGACAAAATGAACTGAAGTTCACATTCATCGATTTATTCCAAATGATCGTTAGACTAAGTAAGGCACAGACTGACCATTATAAGGGTAAAATGATACCCGGGGTCAAACAGCAAAGTTACCACAGCATCACAACCAAGTCAGTAACGGGTAAATCCTCCTCTGTTTGCCAAACAAGCATTGATCCGACGTGGCATACTCCTAATGAGACGTCTAAGGTCATTTTGGTCCAGATTGTCCCATTCCTGTTGCAACGCAGCAGCAAGTTCTTGGACATTGGCAGGACGTTGTTGACGTTGACGTAACCCCTGTCCAAGCATGTCCCAGACATGCTCGATGGGGGAGAGGTCGGGACTCAGTGCTGGCCAAGGTAATGTGGTGATGTTCTGTTGTTGGAGGTAACCTGTAACGATCCTGGCCCTGTGACATCTTGCGTTGTCATCCTGGAAGATGAAACGGCGGCCATGACGTCGTGCAAACGGCACAACATGGACTGCCAAGATGTTGTCCCGGTAGTACTGGCCTGTAACACGCCCTGCAACAACATGTAAAGCCGTTCTTCCAGCAACAGTGATGCCTCCCCACACCATAACAGAACCACCCCCAAATCGATCATGTCTGATGACGTTAACGTCTTGGAAGCGCTCGTTTCGACGACGCCACACCCTCCTACGTCTGTCCAAAAAATCAACAGTCAACCTTGACTCATCTGAAAACATCACATTGCTCCAGCGTCGATTATCCCAGTGTTGACGATCCCTACACCAACGACGTCTTGCCTGAATGTGATGATCTCTCAAACAAGGGATCACGCGAGGACGTCGGGCGCGAAAGTGACCCCTATGCAGTCGATTCCGAATCGTCTGGCCACTCACTCTCACACCAGTGTCTGTTTGAAGACGAGCGCTGATCTGATTTGCTGTGATGACACGATTTCTCAAGGCCAAGGTACGGATAAATCGATCCTGGGCTTGAGTTGTCGCCCTTGGTCGACCTGAGCGTGGTCTGTCCTGTACAGATTGTGTATCACGGTATCTGGACCATAGCCTGCTTATGACAGACTGAGAAACATTCATCGTCCGCGCCACAACCGCCTGTGTTGTGCCGATCTGTAGCATGCCAAGGGCACGTAACCTTTCATTTTGGGTAAGCCGACGCATATCAAAATTTGTTTTCTGGTCACTAAAACAATTAAACTGATGTTTCCACCCTGGAATTCAATGCCACAATGACTGTAACATTCAAAGTCAGAGTCGTGCAAATCTTGGGTTGGAGCTCATGATGATCCCAAGCATCACCTGCATTCCATGCGGTAGCTATTGGTGCATTTGGGCGTCACATGTAACTGGAAATGTTTCTTCTGTTAGGTTCTATAGTGACTTATTTCGTAATCATTTGCATATTTTAGTATTATGCCCCCAAAATCAAATATCCCCTACTTTTTTTGAATAGTATATTATAACATTATAACTATCTACTAATTATAATATTATAACATTATAACTATATTCTAATTATAATATTATAACATTATAAGTATATTCTAATTATAATATTATAACATTATAACTATATTCTAATTATAATATTATTATAACTATATACTAATTATAATATTATAACATTATAAGTATATTCTTATTATAATATTATAACTATATACTAATTATAATATTATTATAACTATATTATAATTATAATATTATAACATTAAAACTACATTCTAATTATAATATTTATTTTTTCATGTCTTAAACTTAATAACAATTTTTTTCCATGCCTAAACCATTTTTTGTATCGTAACTATTTATTTTTTGTGCCATAGCATAATAAAAAAAAAAATTTCGCGTCATAACCTTTGTTTTCGTGTCATAACATCATAACGTTTTTATCTCGTCATAAATTTGGTTTTCGGGTCATAACATCTTAACCATTTTATTTTTGTGTCATAACATGAAAACTACTCTTTTTTTTCGTTTCATAACAGCATAACTATTTTTTGTTTTTTAATTTCTCTAATTATCTTTTGTCGTGACTCAAAGGTCTGGATAAATAGATTAGTTCATCATTCAAACAAGGGTTTGTAAATGGAGTTAGACATAATGTTTTTTTATTTGAAAGCAAAAGGCAAAATTGTTTTATTTTTACTGAAATAGATGTTTAATAATCGGGGGGGGGGGGGGCTATAGTGGTCTAGAGTATCGCACTCCTAGCTCTAGTTGGCCGGTCACCTTTGACATGTGGTCGTGGTTTCCATCCCTAGTTTGAGCGTATGTGGCTTAGAGATAGGGGGCACATTCTCAACCCCGAGTGTATACTCCGGTTTCCTCCCATAGGAAAGAGCTATGCGCGCACTAAGATAATAAAAATAAGACAACTCGTCTGCGATATCACCCTCGGTGGAAGCGGATGTTAAACCCTAAGAACGACAACATTAATTTATGTTTATTTCCAGGAATCTAATGCTTACGAAGATTGGAAGTATGATAGAATGCCTAATCTCTTGGAAGTTCTTGAAGAGTTTCCGTCATTAAGAGTCCCTCCCTCGCTGCTTATGACTCAACTCCCAAACTTACAGCAAAGGTTTTACAGTATTAGTTCTTCACCTAAAGTATATCCCGGTGAAATACATGCTACTATCGCCGTTGTTACATACAGAACACAAGGTAATGCGACTTTTGCATTTTACTAATGGTTTCAAATGAATTACACATTTCACATGTACACTATATGCCGGTTGAAAGACAGAAAATGCAAATTAAACATAGCCTTTAGGCCTGAAATGTTATCTAAATTATTAATTAGACATTAATTAACATACCCAGACCATAAGCAACAAGCGATGTCAACGCTAGCCAGCGATAATTATTGGATAATCCAATCTTTACTGGTGCTTTACCTTTCAGTTACTTTCAAATTTGTCAATATTTCGAAGTTGTCGATATTCTAGTATAATAAAATATTGTTTCGTTCGTAAAATTAAAGGTAAGCCAAATATTTCATTTTCCTGAAAATTTGATGTTTAAGACTGAAAATGTTTCATTAAAGACCAAATATTAATGAAAACATTATCTATGATACATGTATATAGTCAAATATTATCAAAAACCGTCTATAAAGTTGGAATCCCTTGTCTTTTTTCCAGATGGCGCTGGTCCAGTGCATGAAGGTGTCTGTTCATCGTGGTTGAATAGATGTGAACAAGGGGAAGTAATCCCCTGTGCTGTTAGAGGGTAGGTAATATTAAATCCATGTTAGACAGTTATCTGAGTGTTAGATTTGGTTTATTACCGAATTCCTTTCCGTTGCTATGAGAACCACGGTGGGATTTATCAATCTGGTTTTCCCGTTCCCCAGGTTTGAAAGCATGGCAAGGAAAAACGTCTAGTCGTTCGGATGGATCGAAATACCCATGATTTCAATTGGCGACACGTTAAAGAACCTCTGACAGCTGAAAATCGAAATAAGAAAAGGCCTTAAAATGATGTATGCGCCTATCTTCAATAGCCCCATTGGTTTAGAAAGAAAGACATAAACCCCAATTTCGTATAAATTCTCCATTATTCTATAATGTCAAAAATCAAGGAATTTTTGCTGTAGTTAGACATTATACGTTGTTATTCACTTATTGGGACCTGTGGAAAGCATTATCAAATGTTATCCCTTGACAGACAATAATTATAGCCATATAAATAAGTCAAAAACAACATAGATGACGTGGCACTGTCGTGGAATAACGAGGTCAGTCACTAATGGCACAACGTCTGCCACCGTCTTTCTTCCGTGGAACAATCACTCGACCTCTTAAAGATTGTAACCTCATTTCCTAAATGTACTTACTTATATAGTAAAATAGAAAAGTAATATAATTAGACGGCCATTTGTATAACTTGTACGTTTGCTCCGTATCTAGACATATTTTCCCGTCACTTTGTGTAAAACCTTTCTTTTTTTCCCCCGTAAAGAACTTAAACAGTAATGGCCGTCCATTTTGTCGTTAATTGGCACAGCACAGAGACCACTTTACGTTCTAAAACTGAATATTATTGATCTTTGGTAACATAAAATTTAATGCATTTTACAGAGCGCCAAGCTTCCGATTACCAGACGACAATACGCTACCAATTGTAATGGTAGGTCCTGGAACAGGTATAGCACCATTTAGAAGCTTCTGGCAGCAACGGAAAATTGATAGGGAAATGGAGGATATACCATGTCGTAAGTACTGCGTGTTTGTTACCTTGACAACCATACCTATTGAAAGAAATAAGATATTATGAAAATAATGGCTACATATAATCAGACTTTTGAAAGTGACGCCATTAAACCAGTTATTTAGGGAATAAATATATCCCAGAAAATGAATGGGTTAACTCAAAAATTTCCGTTCTGTGGTCCGCGCTTTGATATCGAAATTCAACGACCGATTTAAAGCATTTTGGTTTGATATTTTGTTACTTTCAGTGTTCCATATCCTTTATCTATAGCCATCTCGGTAATTCGTGGGTTGAAATGAACCCGACTTGTCGGGAAAGTTGCACCGATGCAGGTGTTGTTTTTTTTGTATAAAAGTCCGACTTACCATCACCAGCAGTTGTATCGACTATTTTAATTAGTCAACCTGCGAAACTATTAGACCAATACAAACAATTACCCATGATCGACATAAAATGCTCTTTACCGTTGCTTCCGTATTAATATGAATCATGTTCGTGACCTATAGTAAAGCGATGGTTCAGATGAAGTTACCATTGCAGCAATGGTAACTTTTATGGTGATATTTTATTTATGATTGTATGTTTCAGATGGTGATAAGAAGGGTTGGGGAGAAATGGAACTTTATTTCGGATGTCGCAACTCTAAAATAGATAATATATATAGTGATGAACTAACTCAAATGAAAGCTGAAAAAGTGCTGAATAATTTCTACGTGGCCTTGTCTAGAGAACCAGATGTACCTAAGGTATGATGTGCATGCATTACAATCCTCATTATCACCATCACCATCATCATCATCATTATCATCATCATCATCTTCTTCATCATCATCATTATCATCATCATCATCTTCTTCTTCATTTTAGTAGTAATTTTGTGCTGATTTTTCTCCCGGTTTTTAATACAGTGATACTATACTGTCACATGAAATCTATTAATTTTGTTGAATTCATAAAAAAGTAAACCCTGACCAAGAGAGACTGTCTTGACTCGAGTGTGTCATGGTCAATTACAACATACAAAGGAGATTACCTTCTTAGCCTACTGACTCTAGTGTGTCCTTGTCGTTATGAACATACAAATTAGGAGCTGCACAGGAGAGACAACCTTACCTGCCTGCTGACTCTGGTGTATTCTGGTCATGAAAGGTATATAATGTAGGTCCCGCACAAGTATACCTTAACAACCTGTTGACTCTAGTATTCCCGTGTCATTAAGAAAATACGAAATAGGTTCTAAACAATAGAGACTACTTTATCAATCTGCAGACTCTAGTGTACCCTGGTCATTAAGGATATTGTTTAACAATGGGAAATTGACTACTGTGTTTTTTATATTTTAGACGTATGTTCAAGATGATTTAAAGGTTCATAGTGAAAAGGTGTATCGTGCCATAGTTAAAGAAGGGGGTCATTTTTACGTCTGTGGTGACGTTTCAATGGCGTCAGATGTTACCACTACTTTAGAGAAGATTTTACAAGAATGTGGCGGAATGAAATCCGAAGTTGCCAAGAACTTTATCTTAAAACTTAGAGTAAGTCTTTTCTTAATTATTGTGTTTATTAACATACTAGTGATCAGTATTATTAAAATTTTAAAATGGAAGAGACACTACTAGTTAAAGGTGTAGCCTCAGAAATATTTTAGTAAATAGAACTGATTAATTCTTGGTGTGAGAAGTGATTAATTCTTGGTGTGAGAGAGAGAGAGAGAGAGAGAGAGAGAGAGACACTACTAGTTAAAGGTGTAGCCTCAGAAATATTTTAGTAAATAGAACTGATTAATTCTTGGTGTGAGAACTGATTAATTCGTGGTGTGAGAGAGAGAGAGAGGGAGAGAGAGAGAGAGAGAGAGGGGGTAACGTCCACGCGACACAAACTAAGTCATTTCGGGACTAACATATTGTTCAACTTTATTTTAATAATTAGAAGTGGTAGGAAACCGGGGGTACCGAGAGAGAGAGAGAGAGAGGGGGGGGGGGGTAGGGTAACGAGCTAGGTTATATTAACTAACATATTAATCAATTTTATGTCAATAATTAGCAGTAGGGGGAAACCCACGAGATTGGACAGGCGATCCTATTCGTTATCACACACAACCACACGAGATCACTATTCGGCTATTAATAAGGTATATTTGGTACTGCTTTCAGGATGCAAATAGGTTCCATGAAGATATATTTGGTGTTAGTATACAGAAACGCAGTACAGAGAGTGATAAACCACGTGATCAGGGCCAAAGAGCGTGGAAGTATATAAGTTCTGCTGGTAAACCTAATAAACCAGATACAGTTAAAGAAATTGCAACTCCTATACCCGCACCGGTAAGATTTACCATTGCTATCACAATATATATAATATGCAGAATCCATAAGAAGATTACGTTCACGTGATTGTGATGGACACTCAACATAATGATCTAGGATAAATAGATTGAAATTTTAAGACTTTTTCCCCAACACATCTAAAAACTATCGCCAAAAATTATCGCAAAATCAAATTTTAATTGGCAATTTGTTTTTATTGCACATTGCGACCGACAATGTGGGCCCTGCGTTCAGGTGAAATCCAAAGGAATTTTGTGTTGGCATTTCCCAAAAACAAACCAACTCCAGATTTCGTCAAGGTCGCCTAGATGTAAATAAGGTTAGGGTACGTAATTGTTGACGAGATTGTTTGTTAGGGTTTGGGTAAGGGTTAGGGCTACAGTCCAGAGTTAGGGTTGGGATTGGGGTTAGCGCTAGCCCTGTTTACATCTCGTGACCTTTGAACAAATCTGGGGGTGGCCTTAAGAAATAGATCTAATCGTGATAGTGACTTAAGCTGTGACACTTCGAATAAGAGAATTGAGCAAATTATTGATACTTTACATACATCATTCTCAGGGTTTTTATTCTTATTTTCAGGCAAACAGAGCACCAACTACAAAACCAAAGGCACCGCCTAAAAACGTGTTTCAGAAAAATAACATTGATACTGATGTCACATAATCAAGAAAGCCCTTTGTTCAACAGTTTTCTCTTAAATTTCTTATTTCTGTTTTTAATGAAAGTTTGAATCGATGGTATGTTGATATATTCAGCTTTTTCACTTTTTATGTAAATAATATTTCTTATATTTAAATGGATTATTCAATAATTAAATTATTCTCTTTCTCACATTTTCTCATTGCTAAATCATCCATTTTTGTTGATTCCTCTGTTTCATCCACATTACATTTAATCAAAACTGATTATGTATCGTTTAATATTATTGGTTATTAATTATAGTCTTGCATTATGTCTCGTTTAATATCATTGGTTATTAATTGTAGTGTTGCATTATGTCTCGGTTAATATTATTGGTTACTATAGTGCTTCATTATGTCTCGTTTAATATGATTGGTTATTATAGTGCTGCATTATGTCTCGTTTAATATTATTGGTTACTATAGTGCTTCATTATGTCTCGTTTAATATTATTGGTTATTATAGTGCTTCATTATGTCTCGTTTAATATGATTGTTTACTATAGTGCTTCATTGTATTATTGGGATATAGTTATGTTGTTATCGTTGTCATTTTATTTATTAAATTCATTGTATAGGCTAGTATTATAACCATAAATATTTTATCTAGAAAGCAAGGCTTGGGTGTGATTACATAGGGCTGAAGCTTATATTTGAAAGACGTAATCCTATATATCATCTCCAAATCCCAGATTAGTATGTTGGAAACATAGTGCTAAATATATATGTAATATGCTGTGGAACAGAAACATCACTGAAATTTATTTTTTATCAAAACACCGACCGGTTTAAGATGATATTTTCTACATTTTCCTTCGAGACATGATGCCACGTTATAAAACCAATTTGAACCCTAAAGTGCTATTGTATTTTAATATTTTATATTAACGTCATACATGTTTAGCTGTTTTTATTATATGTTTAAACTAAATACGAATGCAAAAACTTGGTTTTTACGTGGTGAGGGTTCCAGTTAGGTTGTTTTGTTTTGGTTTTTTTTTTTTGGGGGGGGGGGATTTTATTCATGGAATTCTTATTATTATAATTGTTTTTTTTTACATTTCTGCAATTACAATCATATTAATTCCTCGAATACTAATTGCTTCTTTTCTTATGATTTCTGAAATTAGAATTGCTTTTCTTGATTCATTTGAATTTCTGGAATTACTATTCTAATTACTAAAATTATAATTGTTTTACGTGTAGATGATCAATTGTTATTAGTTTGTTCAATTTAAATTTTATATTCGTACTGTGCACCTAATTTTGAAAAATCACAATCAACCAATAAAGACCTACAAGCTAATAATGTAAATAAAAAGACTACTAGATATTGCTTAGACGATATAATAGATATACAGCACAAAATTTGCTGAGGCATATAAAGAATGGTGTCTGATTTGCGCCGCAGGGCAGCTTTACAAACTGGATTTTGACGCTATTCCAATTCAGTACATTTATTATATTACTTTTGTGATTTAAAGATTCATTATGTAAGATTTAGATAAAGAGATTACAGTCCTCGCTATAGTAGTTAAGAATAGATAATGAAAAGGGAATCTATTGAAAATTTTAGTCAAATTACTTCATTCTTGTCGGCCGTCTTCATTAGCCCAGTCGGAGCAGAACAGTAGGACGTTAAACACCATTTCATTTCATTTCATTTTGGGCGGAGTTATCATCGTTTGCAGAACAGTGTAATCTCGATTGTCATTACTACCGTTGTTACGATGATAAACAAAGTCTCGGTTATCTATTAACTGCCAGTCGTATTTACATTTGTTGAAAATCAAAACCATCCGAAGTTCTAGAGAGTTGATTATGGGCCTGGCATGTAAACAAATGTCTAACTAATGATTTGTGTAACTTTTAGGCCAAACGAAAGATCTGCATTGGGCAGAATTATCTCTTGAATAATGCATCTTTAAACGGCTTCGGACCGTTGTGTCAAGTCGTTTTTTGGGGGGCCTTAAATGAAAAATCGTGCAACGTTGAGCACCAAAATTTAGTTAGTAGTAGGGATATTAGCTCGCTCTTATTTCATAGCAAAACAAGCCGATTTTTCGATTTCGGGTCAGTGAGTCACGGTTGCCAGGGGGTTCTTTGTTCGATCCCGGTTGTAACTGAGAACGTTCCTCTGGATTTATCAGTCTGGGTTCGCCTTGTTATTTGCAAATTAAGATAACAGAGGCGCGTTCTTATTTCATAACGAAACAATCCAATGTTTTGATTTGGACTAAACAAAATAAGATCCAAAATGTGTTCTTTAGATAGGCCTGGTAATTAAACGATTTATTGTTGGGTTGTTTTGGGGGTGGGGGGGCGGGGCATGAACAGCGCCCCAACCACTGCTCATATTGTTCTTGTTGTTCTACTTCTTCTTTTTCTTGGGGGTGGCGCTCTTAAAAATACATAAGGGGTTGTCAATTCTAGCACAATCGACACGCAACGTGACATACTTGCTTTTTTGCACAATTGCGCATCGGTTGACGGACTTACGCCACAAGTCCAAAATGGTGGTTATGACGTCATGTTCAGTTCCTTAGACATAATACACTCGTGCTTGTTTCATACCATCTTGGCCTCGATGCTTGTGGATAGAAATGTGCGATCGCTCCGACGTCGACAGATTCACAAGAAATAAACTCAGTGAAAAGTAATGTGAACTTCAGATGAAATAATTTACGTTGCTCGCTTTAAATAATTTTGGGTGGTTATGTGTTAAAAATTCGACCGAGTAGTTTTCTTGTGGGAAAACAGCGCAATGAAAATGTAAACATTTGAAACGAAACAGAAGTATTGCTTAATGGCATGGTGGGTCCCTTGTATTAACGTTAAAATTAAATATTTGTATATGTACTTTAATTATTTATATGAAATCTCTGTTAACTTAATGCCCATTACTTGTTTATTATACATACAGTTTGGCAGTGTTTATATATATATATTACTATTATTCGCTAATTCATTGTACATATATATATGTGGACAATTTCTCTTTTAATTTTAGTACATGATTAATGGAATCTACTTTATTCATTACTTATGGCCATGGAAATTTTCTCTTTATTTGTTTTTGGATCAGTTTTCTTTTCGCCTGTAAATCTTGCCTTTCATTCATCTGGAGCCGTATTCACGAAAACTTAAACTAAAATATTATGAATGCAGCAATTTCATTGGTTGAAAGTTAAAACCCTAGTTCAAGCTTTAGCTCTTTGTCAATGAAAGGGCCGAATTCATGAAATATTTAGAGTTATCACGAATAAGGCCCCTGTAAACTTATTTTATGATTTTAATCTCTTTAAGTTACGGTTCTAATATGTGTAGGCTAGCGTCTTGTATCGGTGAAATTTAAATTTATCTTTAATCAAATATACAATTATTGACAACTTATGATTTTGTCTTTTCTCTATATATCTTAAATCGTTACTGTTATTTTTAACTGTTAACAATAAAAAAAATCTTTCTTTTTTCGACGATTTGTGTTTCTTTTCCAAGACTTTTTATCTGAGGGGAGCGGACAAAATGAAACGAAATTGGTATAACTTTCTGGTTTCTGTACCGACTGGGCTAAAGAAGACGGGCTTACGCCATACAGTGTGCTATGGCCTACTCTTGTATCGAATTCCAACTGTCAAGAAATCATTTGCGTGCACGACAATGTGTACACGAGACCTCGGGTTTTCGGTCCATCTGAACGATTAGATACTGTTCCTTCCCAGGCCTTCCGCCCTGCAACACTGACAAGGAAACCATGCCGGAAAATCCCGTGAAATCTTTTCCAGCCAACACAGCCTGGTTAGCGAGCCAGCGTCTTACTCACTGAGCCACCGCGACTCCCCTACCGGTTTAACTGTTATGTATTCCAAATCTACATTATTGAGTACGACACCTACATGTAGTGGTTTAACTAATCTAAATCTACACGCTTTTGAAAGAAAGAGTGTGGACTTTGTTAAAATGTGAATTTTCCAAAACTAGACCGGGGCTGGGAGCGAATCGATAGCACATGCGCGCTGTATCATAAGGTCTGGCGTGGTTTCCGCTTCCCCGGTTGCTCGGGGTTTGGAATTTACGTCGTTTTTTGATGAATTGATAGGCAAAGCTGTCCCAGGGGGTATTGTAGCCTACTTGGGAGAGGCCTATCTGTCTATATAAATAAAACCAAATATTGTGTATGTATGTCCGCCCATCACGCTTCGTCGCCGCAGTCCACCTGCATGTGGTATCAAATGAACCAACATGGCCCTATGAATGTTTGAAGTCACGATTTATGAAGGTCAAGATCATTTATAGTTTAACACAGCCAAAACTCAATGTTGAACTGTACCAGTTCAGCCGAACTGTTTTACTTCAGTTAACGGGAGGTAACTCTGTTTATCATAGTGGGATGCAAACCACCATTGTTAATTTCCCCATTGACTTTAATGTTAATTCTGGTCTCTTTGCCCGGCTCCAACTTTCGTTGGGCTGAATGCTTTTTACTACAAAGAAATGAATGGTCATGTCTTTGCACCAAAATGTGTAGGAGGTTGACCACCAAAATTTTGAGTTAAACAAACTTGAAGAAGCATAGTAAAAACATTTAACTGTTCGCCGTACATATTACCGTAACCAACCTGATAACTCTGTTATCCTTCCGCCTCTAAATAATGAATATTTACCAAAACCTGGCAGAAAATGTTAATTCAAACCCTCTTCGTCCATTCTACACCAAAAAATCAACAAAAATGGCCATGCAAAAGGGGAGAAATGAGACAGAGAGAATTGCTGAAATTTAATGGTGGTCTGCTTCCAGTAATTAAGTTTAATAATACATGTAGTAACAGATGATATGGCCACAGATCACTAAAGATTTGCCCATTGACTTTAATGTTAATTCTCGTATCTTAGACCGGTGTGATAGTTTGAGTTGACTCCTGGTGTGTGTTTTCTCCTGGGTACTTGCGCATGTCCGAAACTGATGTTTGCCTTAACAACGAAACTATACCTACCTCCTGCGGTGTGAGTTGGTTCCTGATCACTGGTCAGTACAGGAAAAAGTATATCATGTACTTGATTAGAGTTTTGTCATTAATAAACATACTTGCTATCGTGATTAGCTGTTGTTTTAGTGATCAGTAGTTACACGATCAACGGATCTAAGTTGATTGGCTTGAAATTGATACTTCTATCGTTCGTGATTTGTTGCCGTTGGGTTTTTTTTAGTGATTAGTCGTTCTACACACGTACGATCAGTGGAAATCATACAAATTGATGATTGGCTTGAAATTATCAATTAATTCACCTCCAAAGGAAGATTAAGGCCTTTGATATTTCGTGGCTTCATTTATCACAAATATAAAAGTATGGAATTTCTTATTCCGATTTCTTTAACATAAATATAGATTTATTATACCATCCCATACATTCAAACATGCATGTAGACTGCCCAAATACAAGAGAGAATGTTCGCATTGTGGACGGGTATATATACTAAATAATAATAATAAAGATCGTCAATTTGCATCCTCTCGTGGTGGTAATACTGTAAATATCGGTAGATAATAGTCTATGATTTGACCGTAAGAAAATCTTAGGGCAAATCCTATCACGAGGAGTCAATGCACACCGCGACTGTAACGGTGTGAGTTGACTCCTACAACTGCGCATGCGCCAAATGGTAATCACACACCAGGAACCATCTGAAACTGCCACACCGGCTCTAACTTGTTCCCAAATTTCCGTTGGATAGAACGCTCTCTACCACAGATGGAGCAACATGTGGCAACATCTTGCCCAAAAGCACGTATGATGTTCACCATGGAAAACTTGAGATACACAAGCTGAAAGTAGAGACAAAAAAAAATGCAACTTTGGACCCTACATTTCAACCTAACCAACCTCTCAACTCTTGGATTCTACACCAAAAAGTCAACAAAAAGGGGGCAAAAGGGAAAGGGAGAGAAAGACTAAAAATAACTTTCGCCGGTGACGGCGTAGAAATATTTGGTGAGCTGTGTCCATATAAGCTAACAGAAAGAGTGCAAGAAATGAAGATGGCGAGTAAGCCGATCCTGGGCAGTATTTATAGTTCTCCAAATAGAAATAGCTCGGTGGAGAGAACGCCTACTACCACAGTACACCTCTGCACTAATCAAACTGTTCAAGTGATCTAAATGTAGGCTCTATTTGGTGTTTTTTTTTATAGTTTTAAAGAGGGCTAGAGTTATCATACATACAGATATAAGTCAAGGGGTGCAGAATTCGTCCATTTAAAATAATGGTAAGCGTTACACGTTGTGACTAGCGAGGATAATTAGCTCGCTTGTACAGGTGCTTGGATTGTTGGCGATATCACTTAGGAAGTAGTGTACGTTAGATAAAGCTATTTCATACACCGGGCCCCGTTTCTCGAAATCTTAACTAAAGATAAAATCCAAATTTTACTAGATACTTCAATTTTGATTGGCTAAGCACTAAAATCAATCTAATATTATCCAATCAAATTACTAAAATTTGGATTTTATCATAGTTAAAATTTCGTGTCTGGATTATGGACCCACCCTAGATCTCTTCCTCCTTGTAAACGGGGATAGTTAATATTCAGCCCTATACATACAAATACAATCCACTGTATGATAATTTAGCTTTATTTATTAATTACCAACAAATGCTTAAATAGCCATCAATCAGATAATATCGTTTATAATGTATGTACATATAAGAGTAGAATCAATATAAACTATGGCACATTGAAATTGATTATGTTTCATTATGATTTATTAAAGTCATTATTGCCTTTTCCGCTACCAGCTTTAAGTCACATGTATTCAGGGGGGTGTCCAGAGACCCACGCCTTCCTGCTAGCCAAGGCATATTTGTTTCTCCTACATTTATCGAGAAATAACTTCGGACAAGCAAACGTGCGAAGCATATTGCCGTCGTTTTAGCCTCTCCCCACTTAATCTAATCCTGTATATGTAAGGACCTGAATGAGCAGAAATATTGTTTCAGATTTTCTAACTTTATTAAATTCCCTACCCTTGACGATTCCCCCCCCCCCCCCGACCGCCTCCTTACTAGAATTCCAGAATACATCCCATTTATTATTTACCTTTTTTGTTAATAAAATCTCTTATTACAATTTAAAAACAGTGGATCCATTCACTCCATTTGATAAACATTTGTTATTACTTGCTGTGTCTATGTAGTGTGTATATCTTGTCCTCGGGCTTGTCTTGTGGGGTTTTATGGTGTCTGGTGCAGTCATCCTGCACTTACAATTATTCAACTAACACTCGGTATTTACATTAATAAACACTCGGTATTTACATTAATAAACAAATTTAACAAATACTATACTGGCCAAAATATTTTTGTGACTGCTCTGTTGAACTTTTACTCACATTGCAATAACCTGTAGTCAGAAGTATCAAAGAAAAAAAAAGGTTTTAAAAAAGTAACAATTTCTCTTCTTCCTTTGGTCCACCCAGTACCAAACAAATATTATGTTTTATCACAGAGAGTGTTTACAATTTGAATAAAAACTGGACAACGCAGATGTATAAGATTAATGATAATTTTCTGAGCAATGTCCGATCTTTGTATTTCATAATTTATAAATAACTTTTCTGATAATAAAAAAATCCTCATTCCCTCAACACATAGCGCTTCAATTAACGAAAAACATTTAATTTAATAGGCAGCAGTTATCAAACCTCGGGTCATTGCTTATTTAATAGGCACCGGTAATCAAACCTCGTGGCATTGCTTATTTAATAGGCAGCGGTAATTAAACCTCACGGCATTGCTTATTTAATAGGCAGCGGTAATCAAACCTCGCGGAATTGCTTATTTAATAGGCAGCGGTAACCAAACCGCATTACATTGCTTTATTTAATAAAACCCATGACATTGCTTTATTTATAGATATATGATTTAAAAACATAATCTTAATGCTGACAATACAAACGTTAAATAATACCAATACACAGACTTGTCAATAACATATCGCCATTTTAAAACTCTTCGTGAAAAGGATAGTGTGGATGGTCCTTTGCGCTGAAATAAATAAATATCAATGCTATAATAAGCAGTGTTTAAAGCTAACTACCTAACAATCAATCTGATTACACTAGGATCTGGAAGAGTTGTTATATTACCGGCGTTTTGCTTGAAGTGAGGGATAAGCCAATGAAACAGTCTGTTACGGCAACTTCTTGATGTGTCATGCACGGAACTGTGGGAAAACCACTAGAAACGCCAACGCTGATTGATTAATCAAAGTCTGACGTCATAAGGTCAAACGCCGCTCGTACGACCCCTAACAGTATAACTTGTCAGATCTTCATGTAGTGTAGACCATCGAAAGTATAAAAAAACGAAACGAAATATAGATCAGGGCCCTTATTCACGAAAACTTAAACTAAGATACAATCGAAATTTTAAGAAATACTGCAATTCGATTGGCTGACCAATATGCAAATTGGATATATGCAAATTGATTTTCGTGAATAAGGGCCCTGTATTTTAATCAGATTGCCTAACAAGTAACCAACCTCAATAATATATAGAAATCTCAATAAACTATATAGAAATCTCAATTAACTATATAGAAATCTCAATAAACTATATAGAAATCTCAATTAACTATATAGAAATCTCAATTAACTATATAGAAATCTCAATTAACTATATAGAAATCTCAATAAAGAAATCTCAATAAACTAAATAGAAATCTCAATAAACTATATAGAAATCTCAATTAACTATATATCATATAATTCGCAGTTTACTGACGCCGACAAACTGAATGCATGGATGTTCATATGTTGGATAAGCTCTTATTTCAAATCCATAAGGTTAACAATAAGAGTAACATTCAGGCTACAGGCGCTACAGCAATAATTTCTAGTAGTAAACATACCATTGTCCAATACCCTCTAACATCCAGTACCATCACGATTATATATACTGGACAATCCGAGTCATGCTGTTTTGGGTTGCCAATAAATGGGCTTTTGGAGTTAGTCTTAGCATCATCTGGTCTCTTTTGAACATTGTTGGGAACTTGAGTTTACATTTTACACTCACAACGACTGTTTACACTCAATTACTACTTTAAGTTAAGTCCATACTGAAGATAACAAACTGCCAAACTCGTGAGCTGGAACATTGTCGTAAATGGTCGCCGAGGACATCTTTCACTTGGGGTTTATTTATTTGTTTATACCCGTTATCTAGAGCAACTGTGGCCATGTTAGCATTTGTCTTTTAGTCGAATATATGCTAGATAGGGTTTAACGTCCTACAATTCTGCGCCAATTGGGCTAATTAAGACCGGCTATGCCATACAGTGTGCTTTATGGACATTTTGACCGGACAGCGGTAATACGGCCTACTCTTATTTCCAGTTCCAACTGTCAAGTGTTTGCATGCCAATGTGTACACTATGCCCTGTTTTTCGCCCCATCCGAACGACTAGGTACTGTTCCTTGTCACACCCTACGTTCTGCCGCACTGACAATTGGAAACCACAACAGAAAATCCCGAGGAACTTTTCGGCCAACACTGTGAAAGAACCCGGGACCTCCTGTTTAGCGAGTCGGCGTCTTACTCACTGAGCCACTGCGGCTCCCTTGGTTAATAAAAATACCCCTGTACTTACAATTCATCTAAGTATGCTCTAACATTTTTATTTAAGGACACCAATTGTTGTTTATCACTGTCAGATAATGAGAAGTCAAACAGGTCAAAGTTTTCTCGTATTCTGGAAGCCGTGACACTTTTAGGCAGGACCCCGATACCTTGCTGTATTAAAAATCTTAATGCAACCTGTAAAATATGATATACAGAAATGAAATGAAATGTGGTTTAACGTCCTAGTTGGATCGCCTGAGATACATACAGATCGGTGGTCCATCATATTCCTGAAGCAATGGCCCGAGAAATCACTCTCTGGGCATTGCTGGATTTTCTTTCGATCCTTCAGTTTTGAGGGAGTGTGTCTATTCTTCTCGTTCAATCAAATCTATCCCAAGTACAGCAACATGACAGCCCTTCGTTTAATCCGGGGTCTTCCCTAAAACTTTGGACAGTGATTTAAGGTATTAAAAACGGTGGAAGTATTGTTCGTCTCCAAACAGTATTGTTTACATTGTATCCGTATTGATAGCCTCGTTTGTCACGCAATTAGTTTGTCTGCAATATTCTGTTATAGTGCATAATAAAATCGTGAGTCATGAAGTAACGTTATGTAAACATATTTGGTCCAATTTCGAGCCCTGTTTAAAACTTAATGATATTGTTACGCAGTTAGCTATTGGTTGCTAATCGGACTATTGACCAGTCATAATTTGGAACAAAAATTTGCTTCCTTTACAGCAGTGTTAAGTGGGATTAGCTCTAATCAAACGAAGCACTGCGAGGAGTATGGGGGTCCATAAATTGGGAACACTCAAAAATGAGAAATGTGCAGTAGAACCAAATAGCCACCTATCAATTGGTCCAGAGCAGAAATTCACAGCTGTGATTAACAATAATTTGGCCAGGAATAGCATCTGATTGCAAACTGAAAACAAAATTCTGTTACAAAACACACATACACTGTTAAACAAATATCTTACTTACTTGAGCCGGGGATTTTTTATATCTAGCAGCAATATCCAATAATACTGGATCTTTTAATAACGTTACATACCCTTCTCTGTAACATATAGAAATATTTATATTAATTAATTTAATACTTAAATATTAATACATTCTATACGGGTATAGGTTAAACGTTCATTATTTCTATAAAAACACTGGTGCAACCATGAAGAAAACAGTTTTGCCTCGAAATTATGCTTCATTCGCCCTTGGACTAGTGGTTCCGGGTGGTGTCGAAAATGAAACCTTAAAACTAAAAAGTTAACATGTAATGGTAGATTATCTTAAAAAACTGATATCGATATGGTTGCCTGGGTTATACTAAATATTTATGACTATTGTACTGTGAACTATTATTGTAGACCACGTTCAGAATTTGGAATTTAAGCAACATTCTTACACACAAACCTGGTTTCATAAAGCTGCCCCCCCCCCCCCACCCCAGGTCTTCATTAGCCCGTTTGGTGCAGTAAAGTAGAACGTTAAAGCCATCTAATTTCAACATTGTGACGAGATCAAAGAACGATTGATTTTGTTTATAATCTATAAATATGTGTTATATTATAACATTTACAGTAGCAATCTGATTTCTGGCTGCAAAAGACGTCTTTATTCAACTCAGGACTTGTGATTAGGACTGAGCAATAAAGTATTAGGATATCTCTGTTATATAATACGGTGCTGACTAGAGAGAAAGAAATACTCGTACCTGATATTTCCAGGAGAACCAAGAGGAGATGATGCTGTTACTACAATACCATTAGCTTTACAAAAATCTATTAGTTTTTTATTACTATTATATACATTTACCTCTGCCTGTAGAAAACATACACAAATATTAACAAACATATATAAAACATGAAAATATACACAATATTCACATATCAATATTTATTTAAATAATGTATATTCTGGATGAGTGGGTGGGTTTATTTACAACTGAATTCGATACTATCCTATCTGTATGTATTCAACTTTGCGTTTTCGAATGTATAAGTACTATTTGGGAAATTTTTCTCGGATAGCGGTGTTCCCAACAGATAAAAATTAATTTACGTACGCCAATGTGTACATGGGATGTCGGGGTATTTGGTATCATCCGAACGGTGAGACGCTATTCGTGGCTCTTTCTGGTCATGCCATCCATCCTACAACACTGGAAACAAGTGAAAACCACACTGGATTAGCGAGTCACCATGGCCCTACCACCTCTAGGAATACTTTCCTTATCATGCCAAAGGTGGGAACAACCGATGTTAACAAGATACTAGTATCAAGGTAGTAACTTACCCAGTTGTTAACCTAATGGTTGTTAACCGGTTTAATTCTAGCTATATATAATTTAACTTACCTGGTTAATAACGGGATTAATTCTATCTATATCTAATATTATCTGTAACAGGTTTAATTCTAGCTATTTATATGATAACTTAAATGGTTATTAACAGGTTTAATTTTATCTATATCTAATATAACTTACCTGTTAATTAAACCAGTTAACAACCATTAGGTTATAATTGATATAGCTAGAATTAAACCGGTTTAATTCTACCTATATATAATATAACTTACCTGGTTATACACGGGGTTAATTATATATATATATATATATATATATATATATATATAATATTATCTGTAACTGGTTTAATTCTAGCTATGTATAATATACCTTACCCGGTTATTAACCGTTTTAATTCTAACTTAATATAATATAACTTTTCTGGTTATTTCTAGCTATATCTAATATAATATATCTGGTTATTAACCCGTTTAATTCTAGCTATAATACAACTTACCTGGTTATTAACCGGTTTAATTCTAGCTATATATAATTTAACATACCTGGTTATTAACGAGGTTAATTCTTGCTATATCTAATATAACATAGCTGTTTATTAACAGGTTTAATTCGAGCTATATATAATATAACTTAAAAGGTTATTAACCGGTTTAATTCTAGTTATGAATAATATAACTTACATGGTTATTAACAGGTTTAATTCTAGCAATATCTATTATAACTTACATGGTTATTAACAGGTTTAATTCTAGCTATATCTATTATAACTTACCTGGTTATTAACAGGTTTAATTCTAGCTATGAATAATATAACTTACCTGGTTATTAACAGGTTTAATTCTATCAATATCTATAAAACTTACCTGGCTATTAACAGGTTTTATTCTAGCTATATCTAATATAACTTACCTGGTTATTAACTGGTTTCATTCTAGCTATATCTAATATTCTCTGTAACTGTTTACTATTAAAATTACTACATCCGATACTCATTGTTAACCCCAGATCAACACAGTCTTCTAATGCCTAAAATAACAAAACACATTATATACAATCTATAACCAAGAATAAAAAAATTGATGAGAACTTCTCTTCAATATAATATTTCGGTAATTGGTAGAATAACATATGGTAATTTTTCTATGGCCATGTGGTTTATTCCAGAAAGTTGGCAGTTGACCCCATCAGAAAATTATGGAAAAAAATATGTTATAGTACATACAAACTTATGTAAACCAGCAAAGTTATATAACTCTAGCATAAACATTCCCCGGACAGTGGCGTTTCGCTTATTTGTCAACGAATTCCAACTGTCAAGGGCACTGCAATGTGTTCACGTGTGGACTTTTTTTTGTCTCATCCGAACAACTAGGAAACACTGTCCTTGTCAGTCCCGTAGGCGTTACCCCTGAACAGTAACAAACGGGTTTGTCGGGAGTCCAACAAGGCAAACTACCTAACGGTTGATTTAAATAGATGTGTTTTTATACTTCACTCCGTCACCGGTTATCTTCGGAAGCGGGTTGTTTTACTTTCTGAATCATTAAACTTTTTGGGTCGTACACAAAACATTGTCCGTCAGCTTTATCCTGATGCTGAATCCAGAATACCGCCCCCAATGCCGATGGGATGGGAATCATGATGGTTAGATCATTTTATTTTTGTTATCCAAGGCTGTCCAACTCGCACTGACGCCAAAAGTTAGCTGTTACGCCTATTAGCAGCCTTTTAGCAGCATACATTTGACGAACGCGCGGTTCTAAATTGTCGACATCAATCATCATATAGTCGATATCAATACCCATATATAATCGATATTAATAACCATATATGGTCGATATCAATAACCATATATAATCGATACCAATAATCAAAGTGATATCAATAACCATAAATAGCCGATATCAATAACCATATATAGCCGATATCAATAACCATATATAGCCGATATCAATAACCATATATGGCCGATATCTAACCATATATAGTATAGCCGATATCAATAAACATAATTATAATCGATATCAATAATCATATCAATAACCATATATGGTAGATATCTATAGCCATGTGTAGTCGATATAATATCAATTGTCTATGATTACAGTGGCCTAACTCACTTACCTTCCAAGTATCTACATAATCTACATCTGAATATAAAACTTTACCATTTGCATCTTTTGGTATCATATCACCGCCTTCCTTTATATAAAAAACAAACGTCATACTATTATCCACAATACAATTTACATTATAGAATACTAGTGGGTCTCCATTGTATATAAGGGAGGTTGGGTGGTCGAATGGTTAGCACGTGCGCGCTGTATCATACGGCCTGTCATTGAGTGAACTGGCGTGGTTTCGATTCCTCGGCTGTACGTGACAAGGAGTAGGGTTGCATGTCTAGCCTCGTGGGTTTTCTCTGGGTCCTCTGGTTTCCTCCCACTGCTAAAGACCCCTAAGCGCAAACGAATAATGAAAAAAAAATTGAACCGTGTGTTAGTCCCGAAATGACCTAGTTTGGGTCGAGTGGACGTTAAACCCTATTACTCACTGTCCCTTTGTATATCAGTAAGTAAAGTTATGGCTTACTAAACAGGAGGTCCGGGGTTCTATCCCAGGGTTCGCCAAGAAAGTTCGCCGGGATTTCTCAGCGTGGTTTCTCGATTATCAGTGGGGGTCCTAACAAGGAAAAGCGTACAGTCCTTGGGGTGGGATGAAAAACCGATGTGCCGTGTACACGTTGGCGTGCATGTAAAAGAACCCTCGACAAATATAATTCAATTGCTGACGGTCATAATTTCCCTCATGATGTATGGCCAACTTCGTTCGCCCGGTAGGACGTTAAACCCCATTTCATTCATCCATTCATTCCTGTCTATAAAACTACTAAACAGTACATAATTCACTTAAAATTTAAAATTAATTACAAAGTAGTTAAAATCCATATAAAAATGGATGATATTGTTATAACCTTTTACCTCCTTCGCCTAAAGTTTATGTTCTTGCCGACTTGATGTAAATCGTGTTCTTTATTTGGGAAATATTTGTTTGTAAACGTTCACGTCACGTCATATATGTATAACAAGCGGTTGACACGGCGTAGCACGGGTATAGCCATGAACTGGAAGTAGCATAACTCCGAACCCGGAAGTGGTAGTCCATCGCCACAAGGCCTATGTTACTCCCAGGTCCGAGCAGCTTCAATAGAAGACTTGATGTCGCTTTAACTCCGTACATCTTATCAAGCCCTTACGTAATACCCTGCATATTTCGGCACTAATTTCGATTGGGTGCAAGTCCAGCTTGAGAGCCTATCAAATTCCTCGATCATCGCGAATACCAGGTCTCGCGCTTTCCAGCTAAAATGTCTACATGTGATAATTGAGTTAGAAAGTTCAAGGTACATTCAATATCAAGGTTTCCGTGGAGTACGCTTCGTTAGATTTGAGTGTGTTTGTATAACAACCTCTGATTGGACGCTGCTGTTCACTTATCTTCGGTCAAGGTAGATAATGTACCTATAAGGTCGGGAATTTCTGAGTACTCCAGCAACGGATAGATGCTGTAAAACTCACGCTCGTTGCTTTAGGAACACGAGGTCCGAGCTACCCCTATACACCAAATTTCATCCCTAGTGTACTCACCAAAACTGAACAGACAGGCAGACAAATAGACAGACAGCCAGACTGACAAACAGGCGACAGTCACAAATATTAGTATAGATATAAGGTCATACTAACCTTGAAAGCCATAGGCCAGTGAATAAGATATAAATCTACATATTCCAGTCCTAAATCTTCCAAGGATTTTCTAAGGTTGACTTCTACTATATCTGGTCTGTGACAAGTATTCCATAACTTAAATTAAAATAACATAAACAAATATCTAAACAAAAAACAAGTAAAGTACGGTAGGCAATAAAAAGTCCGCCATTTTTTTATATTTTTTTTTGCTGATAAATAGACTGATGAATGTGACAGCTGACGGGTGGTGATAAGACGTGAATAAAAATTGACTTATGACGTACATGGTGAAGTTGCCAGAATTATCAAGTGAAATCGGACCTTCCAGATAGCCAGGTTTATAATAACGGGGTTGAACTGCAGGCCTATTTACATATCGCTACTTTGTATACACGATAGAATTTTAAGATCCGAATCTGACGCATAAATGATTTTCACTTTTTTACTAAAAATATCATAAGACAAATTATTTTGATTTTTTTTCTTTACCTTACTAGTGACAAATAGATCTTCTCTTTTAACAACATCTTCTACAATAAGTTGTTTAATGGCGTGTCCAACTGCTCTCTCATTTCTATATATAGCCGCACAGTCTATATGTCTATAACCAGCTCGTACAGCTAATTTAACAGCAGCAATAACAGCATCGTCATCCTTTACAAAAATACAAGTTATAATTAATGGAGTGTCGGATTTGTTATCATTATATGATTAATACAGTGCCGGATTTGGATTTAGATGAAGATAGACTCTAGGCCAATCTCCCAAGCAGAGTTGTCTTCCCATGGAGTTCATAGCGAGACGTGTGTGGAGAATGGAGAGTGGCTCTAGGCTATTCACCTTCTAGTGTGCCTCCCAATCCCCCACCCTCACGATCTAGAGGAAGGTGAAGCGCGTTTTAAACACAAAGCCGCGGATGATGAACAGTGCGTTTAAGAAAGGCTTCTGACAGTGTGAAAAACATTATACACCTTGGCCGGAGGCTCGCTATATCTTGACGTCCTAGCCTTCAACCTACCAAGCTTACCGGATACATCCGGTACTGAATATAGAAGATTAATTTACAAGGCAAAGCAAACCGTGGAAATGTTCTTGACAACTATAAACCAGACAATTGCTTTCAGAATATGATTTATCCGGCCCTGCCCAGGATACAAGAAAATAGACCGGTGACCCTTAATGTTACACCCACGTACACCCCAAAGCTACCGATGCAAATCTCCCAGGAAAATGAGAATCTAATTGGCAGTTCCGAAGGGGTTGATTTCCTATCACATAGTGCAAGGTATAAGGGAGATAACTCGTTTCTATGAACCTTTCAGTTTTAGACGTTGTTTACAACAGATTGCTTTTAAAATTATACTTATTTTTTTAAATAGAAATTCATATCGTTATCTCATTTTTAAAAAAAAACAACACATCATGGGATACGGGCAAAGTTCACGTAGATGGTGAACTATTATTTTAATACAATTTCTTACACCCCTCGATGCCCGCTGTATCATAGTTCATATTTTATACGGTCTGTCATCGAGTCAACTGGCGTGGTTTCGATTTCCCGGTTGTACGTCGCCTGTCCAATCTCGTGGGGTTTTCCGGGTTCTCCGGTTTCATCCCACTGCTACAGACCCCTACGCGCAAGCGAATCATTTAAATAGAATTAAACCATATGTTAGTCCCGAAATTTGTGTCGAGTGGACCTTAACCCTCTCTCTCTCTCTCTTTCTCTCTCTACGCCCCTTGACCCACAACCAACATATGCAGCCTTGACCAGGGCATAAATAAAAGTGAGGCGTCCGACAGTATAAAGTAGGATCCATATAAATATGATCCGCATAGGTCTAATGGACTATCTCTTTCTCACATTTTGGGTATAGCATGCATGGGCCACATGAAGGCTCTTGTGGATTTAAAGGTCCACCCAGTACTTTTTTGTAAGGGTGTTTGTTTTAAGGCGGATTTCTTCGTTCAATTTTACTATTTTAAGCATAAATGAAGCACTGTGTTTTCCCACTTGAACAAAAAAGCAAACATTGGACAAATGTTTCACTGTAAATTATGGTATTTAATAGTAAGGAAAAAACTGAATCGGGTTGTTATACAGAATAACAACCTCATGCAGGGTTATTATTAATAATAATAAAGACCCTACACATCTGAAATAGCGTTATTATACGGATTGAATAACCTCTATTGGTCGAACGAATAGGCGATATCGATTTATATTCACAAGTAATGAAGAAAAACAGATTTATCTCCCCTATTACGGCTTAGAAAGAAAATGTATGATTCGACCCTTCTGAACTAAAGTTCAATAGCCAAAAGAGTCACTGAATCGCCGATACCCCCTCTTCTCTTCTTTTCATTTTCGGCGATGCAATCTCCAAAACACATAATGCAACAAAATTAGCGGGTTATATTTGTATTCTTCTCTAATTTACACGTCTGGAACGCGTGACTCAACAGAACACGCCGCTCACCTACTTTTTAAATAGCGATAATGTTTGACAAATACTTACTTGTTTTGGAGCGTAAGTGCCCAAACCAACTGATGGCATTGTGCGTCCATTATTCAGAGTCAAAACCGTACAATTTTTATCCGCCATCTTTTCATTAACACTGTTAATTGTTCTGTAATTGAGCCAAACCGATCTCTTTCACTGGGGCAGACTCAACTAAACACAAGCACTATGTAGGTCAGGGTCACAGAGCCAAGTCAGTCTTTGTTTGGCCCAGCTGATAACAGGAGCAAACTTACAAACTATTCAACCAAGCTTAAGATAAAATGCCACTTGTAAAAACTATTTTTATTTCTATCGCATTACAACCAACAACTGTCATAACCGTGTCTCATATTTTTCGTTATACTTCCAGGAATTCCTGAATGTGCCTATCTAGAAAACGTCCTCTTCCATCTTGGTTTCATGCATATCAAATGCAACAGAGAATTCAGTTGTCGAAGCCAGTTTCGGGGACAAATTAAGAAATGTTAAGTGTACATATTATAGAAGGGGTTGACGCAGGCACAAAACCTTAGGATTTATTTCATGTTATTTGACAGTTTCTTTTTAATCTTCATCTCCAAGCAATACGCCTACAAAGATGAATCACAGATTGGAATCTGCTGGGAGGACCTGACCTCTTTTGTAATTCTGTAAGTCTTGTTCTTCCAGTGTGTTCGTTGTTTTCTTTTACTTATAAAATAGTGCCCCACCCCATCTCGGCCGGGGGGGTTGGATGGCTGAATGGTTAGCGTGTGCGCGCTGTATCATACAGTCTGTCATTGAGTCTACTGGCGTGGTTTCGAATCCCCGGTTGTACGTGGCAAGGAGTAGGGTCGCCTGTCCAACCTCGTGGGTTTTCTCCGGGTCCTCCGGTTTCCTCCCACTGCTAAAGACCCCTACGCGCAAGCGAATTATGTAAATAAAATTAAACCATATGTTAGTCCCGAAATGACCTAGTTTGTGTCGAGTGGACGTTAAACCCCATTTCTCTCTCTCTCTCTCTCTCCCATCTCGGCCGAGATATGCTATAATAACACAATGTCAAATTAAAGTAATCTATATAATAAAGTTTATCATCTTATCAGACATGCATACTTGATATCATCTGTACTACTTCTGTACCAAAAGTACATAGTGTACAATCTAGAAATAAATAAGGGTAGGCCTACAGTTTTATTACAAACTGAAGAATGGCTTTGTCATGACATGAAATGAATTGAAATAAAATGAAATGGGATTAAACGTCCTACTGAGAGTTCCGACTGGGATAATGAAAACAGGCATACGCCATGTAGTGTGCTATGAGGAAAATTGTTGTATTCAGACAGCGGCGTTACGGCCGATTCTTACTTCGAATTCCAGTATAAGGGTTATTTTACGTGCATGTAAATATGTACACGGGACCCCGGTTTTTTGTTCCATCCCAACGATTATACGTTGTCCCTTGCAAGCCCCACGTCCTCTACACCACAGACAAGGGGAAACCACACTGGAAGACCCCGATGAACTTTCTCGGCAAACACGGACCCTCCAGGTTAGCGATCCAACGTCTTACTAACTGAGCCACCGTAGCTCCCACTCTGTCATGACAGTGTCGGTACGAATCTAATCGCTCGAAACCTAAATAATAGCTAGCAATCTCAATAAGCAGCAGGTCTAATCGTTCAGGGCCCTGTTTCACGAAATTTTAACTAAAGATAAAATCCAAATTTTAGTAGATACTACAATTGGCTAAGCACTAAAACCAATCTAATATTAGCCAATCAAATTACTAAAATTTGGATTTTATCTTAGATAAAATTTCGTGAAACAGGCCCCAGAAAAGGCAGTGTCTTCTCCAGCCCCCCCCCCCCCCCCGTCTCATTAAATTACAATCCTGGGCCCTGTTTCTCGAAATCTTAACTAAAGATAAAATTCAATTTAAGTAGATACTTCAATTTTGATTGGCTAAGCACTAAATATCAATCTAATATTATGTAATACTTTTAGTAGAATTTTTGCTCGAGAAATAACATATTCGCATAATATGTGATATGTACTTAAAATACTTAAATCAACTTAGTCTGTAATTGATAGTTGACACATAAAAAAAGAGCGATTTATCGAAAACATATGTCACTCATTTACCACCGAATTACACGTGAGTGGAATTATTCTAATTGCATCATTTGATTTAAAGTAACCAATCATTTTGTTAATTACACAAGTTCAGGGCCATGATCACGCGTTATTGTCCATGATATTCACTTACCTTTAAAAGAAACCGGGAACCCTGTAAGTCAGACTTGCATTAGATTCCAGAGATCGAGGGTACATCTGAGTTCCTAGACAGCCGAGAGGCTGGATAGGGTGGAGAAGTGGTTTTAGCTATATAGTATTGTAATTTGTGCTATGCTTGTATACCTGTATTCAGTTATATGCTATATAAAATGTAGAAGCGAACTATGCATTATTATTCCTGGTAAGACAGACGTCTTAAGAAACTGTGAGAAATACACAACGTGAAGCAGAAGTAAAGACAGCTAGAGACAAATTCTAGACGATCACAAGGCTACAGAAATATGTAGTAAGAAAAGATGCATGGGTTGTATGTAGGATGTGGCGACCGGTTTCCCATAGACGCTCTCCACGTCAGACAGAAGACTCATGGTGCTACAATTATCCAATCAAATTACTAAAATTTGGATTTTATCATAGTTAAAATTTCGTGAAACAGGCCCTTGTTTCCTGATCGTGTTAGATAAATAATAATATAGGTTTATACCCTCATACTACGAATTTTCATCAAATAGCCTTTTCAGTGAATGCAAACTCCACGTTTAACCAGGATGTCCCTTGACAGATGGAATTCGATAAAGATTATGGCGGAAACGCTACTGTCTGGGCCAAAATTACCTCATAGCATATATATATAATAGATACTGCCCGTCTTCATTAGCCCCTGTCTGTCGGAGCAGAACAATAGGACGTTAAACTCCATTTCATTTCATTTCATTTCAATAGCCAGGTTGGTGCAGAAGAGTAGAACGTTAAAGTAGCTAAGTCTCTAACTCAATATCATCAAAAATCTTCGACATTGAAAACACGAATTATTTTTCAATTCAAATCAACATTGGTCTTGTGATCTTACAGGGAAAAGATGGGCTTCTGATATCCAATATTCAAAACAAAATAAACATTTTACCATCGGTACACGAATCGTGTACCATAGTGCGTTTCAGCGCCATTTGGAACAAGGGACTCAAAGAACAGGGCTAGACATATTCCACAAGTCACGTCAAATGGTGACGCTATATTCTTATCTGGAGAGCATGCGCAGTAAATACCATCGGTGTAGACTGGAAAAACCAGACGCTAAAGATTGCCATTCACATGAGACTTCTGGCGTATTTCGCCGAACATAACTGATTAGAAATTACAGTAAAAACAGAAACGATTGAATGTAAATCAGTTTATATACATTCATGTTACATTATTATATGCGTTGCGACCCATTTTTGTCAATTTCTAGGTCCATAATATTAGCAATTTAGCTCCTTTAAATCCCCATTTCATTTCATTTTAATAGTTAAGTCAAGAAGTTAGATCTAGAGATCTTGTCCAGTTGTCGTTATATAAATAGTATAGATATTGACGTTTCGTAGACGATGGTATTTATACATCCCCTGTACAAAAGCTTGCATTTGGAAATAGATTTTATCAACCCCAGACCTTCAGTAAAGCTGGCTGTGGGAACATTTTATTCCCTTCTACGTGGAACCACGTATTCTTCCTGTGGTTCCATTTTGTCGATCCTATGGCAAAATACACCTTATGTTTGAACACAGTCACTTGGTGAGCAGGGCATTGACTATGCCCAAATGTCACACTTATCGGTTGTGAATGATTGATTGAATGCGAAGAAGCTTCATTTCATTTTGTCTCAGTGCCCTTTACGATGAAGATTTTTAATGAATCTATTACCTACTTTTATAACCTGGAATGAACTGAAATGAACTGAGATTTTTATACTCGTCTAAGGCAAGCCAAAAATCTAAGATTTACTCGCGCCCCCCCCCCCCCCAACTCCATTTGACACAGTGCTTCAGAATTTTTAAAATGTCCTCCACAAACGCCTTACCCCATGGGCGACCGTTGCTCCACCAGGTATATAAAGAATAAAGAGACGAATATAATAAGAACCGTAATATTTGACGATCCATTTATAGTAATGTCGAATATGTAGTTATTGTATCGGTAGATCCTGCAGCGTGAGAACGTTTTGGTGCACCATAATGCCCCTCAATTGTGAAGCAAAGTCGAAGTAGGTTGTCATCTGAACGGCGCAATTGCTAACCCTCTGTTACCTGTATAATTCTACTGATTAGTAGGCGTGTAAAATAAACACACCTGCTAATCAGTAAATCACTATCTGCTGCGTGAACAAGTAATTTATTATCAACATTATCTACCCAGATTAATTACATCTAATCACCATCGGGGAGTCGCGGTGGCTCAGTGAGTAATACATTGGCTCACTAACCAGAAGTTTTCGGATTCGTTCCCGATGTTCCTTGACGATTTTCCGGCGTGGTCTACTCTTGTCAGTGATGCATGGTCTGACAAAGAATAGTGTCTAGTCGTTCGGATGGGACGAAAAAAGCGGTATCGTGTACACATTGACGTGTCGGTTGGAATTAAAAATAAGAATAGGCCTTCGTGCGGCTGTCCGGATAAAATTTCCCTCATAGCACACAGTATGGCATATGTCCGTGTTCATTAGCACAGTGGGTGCAGAAAATTGGACGTTAATCCCCATTTTATATCGTATCAACTTTAAATTACCTACTTCGAAACTAAATAGTTACCCCTCTTGCTACCCAATCCTAATATATATGGCTTACCCAATCTGATTAAAACACAGATCCTATTTCGTTTTTTTTTTTATAGTTTAAAATTTCGTTTTACTAGTCTTTACTACACTAGGATCTGGAAGAGTTGTTATTAACCCCGAGTCCTGGATGAGGGATTAGCCAATGAAACGGTCTGTTACGGCTAGTTTTTGGCGTGAGGTGCACGGAACTTTGGGTAAACCACTAGAAACGCCAACACTGATTGATTAATTAATGTCTGACGTCATAAGGTCAAAAGCCGCTCGTATGACACCTGACGTGACCTTCCACTACAACTCGTCAGATTATGTAGGTAAACTATCGAAAGTATCAAAAAACGAAACGAAATATAGATCTGTATTTTAATCAGATTGTGGCTTAGCATAAACTTAGTTTTATTTATATATTTATATATTCATTTGTGAACAGTAGGACGTTAAACTCCATTTCATTTCATTTCAGTTTCTTGTTTGTATGTTTGTTGTAATACTTTGATTTATAATGTAAATGCATGCTACCCCCCATGAGCGTCTTTATGCAATATGTTATCTTATCGTCTTTATTCATAGGGTTATCGACACCGTTATGTTGCAATTATTAGGCTGATGAAGTTAAAGCTGTGTTCACACTGGGATTATTATCCACATGATGCATGTGGACGCAAATACTTCTGGTTCTGATAAATCCACGTGTTAAATCTATGTTAGGTGTTGCGCTGTTTTTTTTGTTTTTTTTTTGGGGGGGGGGGGGTAATAGATTTTGCTGACTCAGTATTGCAATGCTGCCGAGGGGCGGGGTGGGCTGGAGCGCATTGAATCACGTGACGCGGTGTGAACCCTAATCTTGTACGTGACAAGGAGTAGTGTCGCCTGCCTAACCTCGTGGATTTTCTCTGTGGCCTTTGATCCCCCCACCCCTTACCGCCAAAGTCCTCTACGGGCCTACGCACAAGGGGATTATTGAAATATAACTGTACCATTGTAATCCCAAAATGACATAGTCTGTGTCGAGTGAACATTAAACCCAATCGCACTCTCATTGCTGCCATTTATCTAATTGGTGATCTTGACATTTTGCCGCGCCAGCAGACGGACTAATCCTTTTTCGTCTACTTGAGGAAATTCTAACCTTGTCTGTGTGACAAACGTTGATCCGACCCTAATTTGCTTCTGGTAATATCTCTCTTTAATGTAGCCTTAGCCATAATAAGATCTTACAGTTTTAGGCCCAGTCTTAGACCATGGCTCTCATTTCTGATGTCAATTATTGTATTTAGCAAACCAATTATTTGGCTGACTAAATCTGAATTTATTTATTAATATCATGGTATCATTGGTAAATACGGGAATAAAACAGTTCCATTTTGAGTATTTTAACTTAGCACAAACAAGGGGGTGGGGTCAAAATAGGGACGATGTTCTCATATCGATTGGGGGGGGGGGGATAACACGTGCACTTTAGATCATAAGGTCTGACACTGCGTCAGGTCGCGTGGGGTCGATCCAACATTAGTAAGTGACATAGATTTTGTAGGGCCCCTCCGGTTTCCTCACACTGCTTAAGACCCCTCTGCGCAAGGGAAATATTGAAATTCAATTATACCATATTATGTTAATCCTGAAATGGTATAGTGTGTGATGAGGGGACGTTAAACCCGGTTTCCCTCTCTCGTCTAAATCTTTAAAGCAGGTGCAACCTTTGACCTGTTTGACAATAAACCCCTGTTAATTAGCTGATATAAAGTCGTAGATTGATGGCAATAGACAGGTACCAATCTCTAACTAGAGGCTAATCTGTAACCGTGAAGGCAACATAGATAACAAGAGCGGTCCACTACACCAACACACTGGCAACTAGTCAAACATTCAGATACAGGATCTGGTCTGAAAAAAACTAGCAACTTCATTCATTCATCCTTAGCTTTAATTGGTTCTCGCTCAAAGAAAATATTTATTTAGTGGTGGTATGATTTATGCTTCTATAGGGTCCAAATCATGGTAAAGTATTTAACGCTGTCTGCAACCTGATCCTACATATACCCACTTCTATGTTGGAATGAGGGCGCAATTCACACTTGTTTTAAACACACACCGTGAACATAGAATGCTTCTTGTTTAGCAATGCCTTTAACATAAGTGAATAATACTTATTACTCTGATTTCTGGATACTTAAGGATTTGGTGCTGTAGATAATCCGTGTTAATTTAACTAGTTTGAGTGTTTTAATTAAGATTTTCTTTTTTGAGGGATTTTAAAAGGAAATAGACCAAAATGTATCTATCCGTTGTATATTTAGGATTAGCCGTTTTAATTGAGGGTTCGTTTGGAGAGGCTATAGAAGAATACAGAACAGAGGAAGGTAAAATCTTTAAGGCCAACGATCTATTTGCTATTGTTGTTGAGATAAATGTTTCTTTATATTATCAGATCATTTATACAGATGTTCGTGCATTCATTAATGGTGTCAAAATACGGGTGACAGGTTTCGTATCAGGGGTTTTACAAAAAAGCGCGCGCGCGAGAGAGAGTGAGAGAGAGAGGGAGAGGGGGGATGTGTGTGTTAATGTCCACTCGACACAAACTAGGTTATTTCAGGACTAGCATATGGTTCAATTTTATTTCAATAATTCACTTCCGCGTCTAGTGGTCTTTAGCAGTGGGAGGAAACCGGAGGACCCGAAGAAAACCCACGAGGTTGGACAGGCGACCCTAGCTACTCCTTGTCACATACAGCCGGGGAATCGAAACCACACCAGTTGCCTCAATGCCAGACCTTATGATACAACACGCACGCGCTAATCATTTGGCCATTCAAATTTGAGCCAATGAAGATTACATTGCGCCGAAAGTCTTGGTTGTCTTTTTGTAAAACAAATTGGTTACAGGAACTGTTTTCTGCCAAACTAATACCGCCTCTAGTTTCTGTAAGCTTAATGGACATTCTATTTCACCGTCACGCCTGGTTGTCCTTTCGCAAAGGGGTTATGTTCACTATAAAAAGGGCGAGTTGGGACCTATCTCTAGCCCCTTTGAGCTAAAGGACATCCCATTGCACAGAGTTTTTTTATAAATCAAAGCGGTTACAACACACATATATATATTTTTAGCCCTAAAACGCCGAATATAGACCCGTGTCTATAGTTTCTTTGAACTAAAAGATATGGAAAAATAATTATCGCCATTATATAAATATAAACAGAAAAGAGTTAAATATAGTTAAAATATCAAATATTACCATCTGTAACTGTGTTATTACAGTATTATGTTGAAACAGGATATTATACTTGATTGACTACATTGGAATATATCATATTATATGTTTGTTTTCCCGCCACCCTTGTTTCTAAAGATTATAATTCTACAGTCTGCTTATTTTTATTTTTAGGATAGAGTAAACAATTAAATAAGTAAAGTGCTTCTACATTACTCTATAGGAGTTATTTGTTCTGTTTAGAAACACTGAGAGAGCTAGTTATTTGAGAAAATCTGGTAGCAGTCAGTAACGTTTTGTTTTGCGTGTAGTGCGGTCCTACTTACACATACATTATGCAAGAGCTAAATCTGCCAATTGCACGTCTTTCTTTAGACCTGAAATGTTATCTAAATTAATAATTAGACATTAATTAACTTATCCAAACATAATCAACTCTGGATGTCATCGCTAGCCTGCGATATTTTCTGGATTAGTATCCTATCTGCTGCCTAACACTCATTGATAATTAAATTAAATAATTGGATAATCGAGACTATGGGTTTTTTTATCGTACCGACTTTAGTAATGATGATCGAGGCTAGGCCCAATATTCAATCGCTAAACACTCGGTTCAGGGTGGATCAATTTGACTGAAATTTTCAGCAAATTCCCTTTACATTATCTAGCCTTTAACTATTATAGTGAGAACTACCAGCTCTTTTACAATCTAATCACACATAATGTATCTTTAACAGTGTAATGTCACATTGATCAGCAGTCAATATTCGCTAGACCGCTTTAGCAAAACCTCTGTGAAACTGATTGGTATAATGTGTCATTTCTCTAAATCGCTCAATCGAAAATGAAAAAAAAATATTCAATTTTAACATCGGTGGTAAATGTTCTGTTAAATGTTGACCCCACCCCCATCACCCCCACCCCCACCCCCACAAGTTGTGGACTCTCAGCAAGCGCGCGGTTCGCACACCCCTAAGGCCACCGACACTGTATAGTCGGTAAGAAATCTAGACAAAACATGTTCTTATCAGTTATCAGTAAGCCAACGTTTAAATAAAGTCTTAAAGCCAGCCATAAACTGATATAGTCGATAATATTATCGTGTCATCAACTTAGAGTAAAATTTGTCAGGATTTAAAATAAACATACGTTACTAGATAATTTACACGAACAAACATTTTATCATTTCAAAAACGTATGCGCTTAAGAGCACTGTGAGTGGATATGAGGGGACGCTCAGAATTAAACAGAAACAAGATTATTTTATGCAGAATTATTGCCCTTGCCACCGAAAAGCCAGTTTTTGCCAATTTTCGCATTGATAAAAGTCATAGCATGCAACCAATTATTAAACATTGCAAAACAGACAAATTGCTATTCAAAATTATCACACTCGATACTGTATTGATTCGGATGTCGGTTTTAAAAGGCGTTGAATCCTGTGAGTAAACGCTAAAAGTTGTGTGGTAGGAGGGGGTAGGGGGTGTACACCACAGAATTAAAAAGGCAAATTTCACCAAGGAATTTCGGCCTATCGATAGTATGTATTTTGTCTTGGGTTTCCCCTGGCATATTTGAACACAGTACAATACTATACCCGTTTGACCTGCAGTTAGGATAAATAGGTGAATTTGGAAATAACCTACCTAGCTACCTGGTCTGACCTACTTTACATCCGGGGGGTCTTAAAATAGATCTCACCAAAGGCAAACCCCTTTTAGCTGTACCACGAAATGTAAATTCTCTTCGTGGAGGCGCGAGATTCGGGTGAAATTGATGGTAATTCTAAAGCTGAAGAGATTGGTACCCTTTTACATTATAAAATCACCGATAGGATTCAGATTAACAGAATAACGACTATCTGTATTAACAATTAATGTGTTGGACGATTAGATCTATTTCTTAAGGCTATCCCCAGATTTGGTCAAAAGTCACAATATGTAAACCTAGCGCTAACCCCAACTCTAACCCTTGACCTAGCCGTAACCCTTTGTATATAAATCTAATGTATTGTATGTATTTTTAATAAAACTAGGAAATATCACGAACTAATTTTTCATCATCCTAGGTCAGTGCTTATGTGGAGACTTAACCTCTCCCCCAAATTCTTAAACCTAACCCACAATCTCGTCAACAATCACGTGCCCTAACCTTATTTACATCTTAGCGAACATGACGAAATCTGGAGGTGGTCTTAAGAAATAGATCTAGCCCACTATCAAACATATCCTTCTTGCTATAGTCGCAATTTTAAAATACCTGACGAGATAAAAAACATAAACATATGGACACAATCCATCTTTAAAATTCCTCTTTCGCAATTTGTCCAACCTCGTGGGTTTTCTCCGGGACCTCGGGTTTCCTCCCACTGCTGAAGACCCCTATACGCGCAGGCGAATTATTGTATTAGTCCCAAAATCACCTAGTTTGTGTTGAGTGGACGTTAAACCCCATTTGTATCAACAGTGTAGCATGTTGATTTTTTGTTACAAACGCAAAATTTGATATGGACTGGGCAGTTCATTGATACTACTGATCCATTGTAACATGACGACTCACGCCATCGCTTAAGAATCACGGTGTGTCGTGATTATTGAGCAAGCTCACTGGCCGTGTGATTCCAGGCTCGAATGCGGTGTTAGCCGATAACATACCCCGGGATTTCCAAGCCCCCCCCCCCACACACACACACACACCTATCTGCAATGCAGGGCGGTGGTGGAGTTGGAGAATGTAGTGACAGCACGTTAGAGATAGTTTGACAGAAACCTAAAAATAAGAGTAGTCCATAGTATAACCGTGCAGGTTATAGTATAATTTAAATCTTGAATATTTAAGTTAATGCATTATTAATTTTAAAAGTGAAAGCCTTCAGATTGAATTTATTTAAACTCTCGGGACAATAACTTTTCTATTCCTTTAAAACAATAATTGTACGTGTGCTATTAAAAGGTGACTAGCCAAGGGTGAAATGTTATGTAATCCTAATGACATGTTAATTTATTATAATCCCTTATTGTTTATAAAACTGTTATAGATAGAAAGTAACTGACAATATGGCCTGCCTGGTGAACATGCCAATCGTATGATTAATCTATTAATTGTTTTATTTACCATTGTTTTATTTCTTATATTGTACATTATTACATCAATGCTTATTTATGTCAACACTTCATCTAGCCAAGTGATTAGAAATAATTCCATATAAATATGTGATTGTACTTGATACGTCAGTCATTTAGGTCTATCCGACTTAGTAGCATAAGGTACTAGTCGGTTATCCGCGGTCCTGTAAGTGTATGTAGATAATTGTTATTATAAGTTTCCAGTATTAAAGATTTGAAGAACCATTCCAGACTCTTGTAATATCTGACGGACCTCACGGTCACAATAGCACCACTTTTCTGACAAAATTGCTTTCATTGGACACCGTATGGCGTACATTCTTCTTCGTTATCCCTGTCAGTGCAGACAAGTAAGGCGTTAAACTCCAGTTCATTTCATTTTATGTTGTCAAGGCCTAGTCGCCTAGTTTTCCGCTGGAAAGCTTTGGATCGCTGATCCGTTATTATCTTTTTAAAAAACACTTTAAATGGAAAAACAATATGTACCCGATGTATTATGTGCGATTCACACGGATTAATATCACCCCATCATCATTCTGTTGCCGTTCATTGACACCATATTGCGCCACAACCCTGTAATTAAATGCCTATCTCCCACGCAATGGTCGTTAAGGAATCCGTTGAACTTTTAAGGAATATGCGAGGCTAATCAATCATTGTGCATGTTTAACATTCTGGAAGTTCTAGAAGTAGTTATAATTGAAACACTAGTCGAAATAATTTGTCAATGTTTCAAATCCATGACATGAATGAATAGAATGAGACAAGCTGAACTCATAATCTGTAGCTTAAATTAGACATTGAAAGTCAAGATAGGTCAGAACAATGAAAAAAATGATTTCAAACTATTTTAAATTGTTAATCACGACATTAAAGGGGCTAAATCGCTATTCATTGGCACCTAAAGTGGACACAAATGGGTCCATCGCATTTAATAATGGCATATTAATGTAAATAATCTGATTTACATCTAATCGTTCTTATACGCCCACATTGAAATGTGGTCGTATATTGGTGTCGCCCCCGGGCGTCCGTCCGTCTGTCCGGCGTCCACAATTGCTCTATAGACTAAAATTAATATCCGATTGACTTTAAATTTATACACAGTGTTTGAGGTCACGAGACGGAGAAGCCTATTGATTTTCAGCAATTTCCGACAATTACTGCAAGAGTTCTGGCCCTTGATCACACAGTGTTTATGGTCATGAGACAAAGAATCCTATGGATTTTCAACGATTTCCAATAATTACTGTCAAAGTTATGGCCCTTGATCACTTTGTGACACTCTAAAGTCTAAAGTTATCATCCGATTGATTTCAGATTGATACACGGAGTTTAAGGTCTTGAGACGAACAAGTATATTGATTTTCAATGAATCTTTATGACTTGAACTACTAAATCCATGGTTTTTAAAAGTTTCGTATACGAAACGTTAGCATGGGGCAGAACTTTATAAAAAACCAAACAAATTCTAATGGTTTTCTGATAATTACTTAATGAGTTGTAACTCTTAATCAGATTTAAATGTATTATAAATGTTTTATTAGCGAAAAAAGTAAAAATATGCGACAACTCTTGTTGACTTCTCGGACGATATAGCTGCTGTGGGCGTATGTTTCGTTGCCTGGCAACCTATCTTAGTTTTTACTGTAAGTTCTAATCAGTTATATTCGGCGAAATACGCGAAGAGTGCAAATTTAATAGCAGTTTTTGGTGTCTGTTTATTCCAATATACACCTGCAGTGTTCTCCTGTGGGGTATGTTTATAGCCTCGTTCTTCTAGTCGCTTCATTAGAAATGGCACTCAAAAGCATTCTGGCACGCGATTCGTGTGTCAATTTTAAAATTTTCATTGTGTCTTTAATATCGGATATTTCACGATAAGATAACAACATCAATGTTGATTTAAATTGACCAGTAAGTCGTGTTTGCAATGAAGACTGTGGATCATACTGAGTTAGCGACTTACCTCCTTTGATGTATTTTAAAAAATAATGTTAAATATATTCCTTTGTTTTTATTTTCTAGGTGGTATATTATTGAAACATATTTTACAAAAGCGAGACGTTATGAGGGTAAGCTATCAGATTTAACAAGATACGGCAATATTGATCATCTTGATTCACCAGGGTATAAGCCCACTTTATTTGTCATGGGACTTACCATTACCATTACGTGTCCTAGATATATAGAGCAAGATTAACGGTCTTGATAATTCATGGTATAGCCTTCTTTATTTGTTTTGGGGCTTACTCATTCTGCACACAGTGATCCATCTACTTCATACTTCGAGAATAGATCTCTGTCCTGAATGGCTGCCATATCCAAAAAGTAGTATATTGTTTTGTAATGCGGTTCTAGACATTATCACATCTGGCATACACACAAAGGCTAAATAAAACCCACTCAATTTCATTAAATGGGCGCAAAATAGATACTTCTCAAAATTCTCGAAGTTAGTGTTTTCGATTAAAATCGTCAATTTAGTACTTAAAATGTCGATCAACTAGCTTAGTGTCTGTTCTCAATCGGAGCTAACTGTAGACAGGTAACCTAAGTTTAGTATGGGGGCTAACCATATATATCGATGAGCTAATCACTGGGCTACATGGGTGTCGGTCATGTAGAACAAGATTAATCCTATTGATAATTCAGGACATAGACTACTTTATTTGTCATGGGTCTTCGGGCGTGTCCTACATTTACGGAATAATGAAAAGGAAGAGTTGTTACTCCTGCAGAAAATAGAAGTGTCCAGTAAACATATACAATAGATATATTTTAATTTTGAAGACCGAAAGGAGTCATGTGCACCCACCGATGAATCCCATCATATCCCACATGCACTATTAGATATTGTCTGGTAATAAAACCATCTCCAGAATATTCAGATTTGTGTATGAGCACCCCAATCTGATTAAAACACATATCCTATTTCGTTACGTTTTTTATGTGGTATAGGCCATTGCAAGTATAAAAAAACGAAACGAAATATAGATCTGTATTTTAATCAGTTGGTGAGCACCCCGGAATCATCATATGTTAATTTGACTCACAAGCCATCACAAGCTATATCTGTCTGCAAAATGAGTCCGATGATAATCTCTTATTAACTTTGTATAATTATATATCGACAGCCTTTACCATACACACATGGCGACGCACCACTTCCTGTGACAAGCGACATGGAAGAGTCATCTGATCAAGAAGACACTTCTGCAAGAGGTACCTATTATCGTTCTCCGGAAACTGTACAGTCACATCTTAACGCTAGAGTAGGTGTTGTTCCACAGGCAGACAGCGATGATAGTCAGGACTACGAGAGGCAAAGGCGTGAACGGGAACGGGAAGAATATGAAAGAAGACGCAGAGAACGTATTGCTGAGGTTGAAAGAAGAAACCAAGAGATAGCTGAGGCAAACCGGCGTAATCAGGCCAGAATAGAGAGTCGACGACAAGCAAGCAGGACTAATCCATCCACTGAAGATCCGGGTTCATCATCATCTTCATCAACTGGTGATTCTTCTTCGTCTTCTTCTTCTTCTAGAAGACAATACACAAGTACCAGCCAAGGACAATATCCACGTACCGGGCAACGACAACGTTACACTGTGTCTACCACTGGATCTAACACCGGACAAGGACAGGGCCAAAGAACATATTACACCCCAACTGTCCAAGGATCTGAAACAGGTCAGTCATATCCTGTGTATGGTTACAACGGCCAGCAAGGCTCTGTAAGGCCCGGGCAAGGTGTGTATAGTCGTGGTTACCAACCACGGGGGGGCTATGTTCCAAGTAGCGGAAGCTATGTTCCAAGTAGCGGAAGCTATGTTCCCAGCAGTGGAAGCTATGTTCCCACCAGCGGGCGTTATGTCCCAAGCAGTGGAAGCTATGTTCCCAGCAGTGGAAGCTATGTTCCCAGTAGTGGAAGTTATGTTCCCAGCAGTGGACGTTATGTTCCTAGCAGTGGAAGTTATGTACCTAGCAGTGGAAGTTATGTGCCCAGTGGTGGAAGTTATGTGCCAAGTGGTGGATCATACGTTCCTCAATCTAGTGTACCAGCATATACACCAAATCCGTTATATGATTCAGTAAGTGATATTTTTATTATTTTATGCATGTATTTCACAAGTTAGTCACTAAGTCGTATTAATTCGACGGAATGTAAGCATGATTTGATTGAGTCTCTAGAATACAGCCATCCAAGATTATTGTTATAAATTGATGTAAGAAAGCGAATTGGACTGGTGTATTTCACAAGTTAGTCACTAAGTCGTATTAATTCGACGGGACGTAAGCATGATTTGATTGAGTCTCTAGAATACGGCCATTCAAGAATATTGTTATAAATTGATGTAAGAAAACAAATTGGATTGGTGTATTAATGAATTAGCCCCTGAAGTATGGTCCGTCCCTGAATATCAGTTTATTTGTGGTAAGATTGGAGATGTTTAACTTGATGATCAGAGAGTATTACTGTACGTCTTTTCGTCTTAATTAAGATAAATACTACTTTCCCAGCTTGGCTATTAGGTAATCAAATCGTTATAGCTAATGAAGATGTCAAGCTTTTTTGTTTAAATCCCCTACATTGAGAAATCTATTGATTTATGGGTTATAACCATATCTGTCAATCAACATTGTTCATAACGGGATCCGAATCTGCGATCCCCGGGATTTGGGGATGGAGAAATCGCCACGATCGCTGAAACAAGGAGTAAAGAAAGAGGGGTATTCGGATTCTGGTGTAAATGTCGCAACTAATTTAGTTTCAGGTGTATTGGTTATAGATGAATTAAAATTGTTGATAACGGGGTCCGAGGGATTTGGGGATGGAGAAATCGCCACGATCGCTGAAACAAGGAGTAAAGAAAAAAGGGTATTCAGAGTCTGGTGTAAATGCGGCACCTCATTTAGTTTCTGGTGTATTGATTATAAATGAATTATTTTATTACCAGGTTTGTCCATCGACCGGTGTTCGTCTGAGAATAAATGGATTAGAATGTACCGAAGCTATTAATCAATATGGTTCCTCAATTTGTTACCGCCATGAGTTCACCTCCAGAGAATGTTGTGATAGATGTCAACCACTGAAAAACCCTGGAAAACTAGGTGTGTTGATCCAATATATTGACATTTATGAATATAATAACTCCTCGAAGCCAATAGTTTAAGTATCTCCTACCTCCCTTTAATCCTACTTGAACCCAGACATCTGTTTGAACATCCCGATCATCTAAATATGTATAACCACAAAGAGCCCAATATCTGTTTATAATATTGAAGGGTGTTAATTATCTAGATTTTTGCTACGCCTGGTCAAAGCAATCTATAGGCTGTGACATCCTTTTTCTATGCCTGGTCAAAGCAATCTATAGGCCGTGACATCCTTTTCGTGTGTTATTTCATTAATTCATGTCTGTTTACATTTTGATCATGAATATTCACCCAAACCTGGCAGAAAATAGAAATCAAACACCCTTCTTCGACCAAAAAGTCCACAGAAATTGCCATTGCAATTAGGGGAAGCAGTTAATTGTCTTAACCCATTCCCTCGCAGTTACGATGTGACTTTCTCCTCTAAATGTATAGTACTATATTAAACGGGGTGTTGGGGCGGGGTTGTATTGACTTACTCAGAAGGTTCTTATTCCCAGCACAAACAAACTCGATTATGCTTTTGATAATGACATGTTGCTATCATTATGATGAGTAACCATGCAGTAGTATTACGTTTGTGTCGGTTGTATACAGGCCAGGTGGTAATAAGTTGCGTCTTAAGTTAATTCCATTTTGACCGCTAAGAGCCAAGGGAGGCCAGTTATATTAATCAGCTCTCTTTTGTTGTAGGCTGTGAATATGGCGACCATTCTTATCAATGTCGACAGATGCAGAGATTTGATTGCTATGATCTTCGCCAGAGTCAAAGATGTTGTGAATCCTGTGAAAGATTCAGGACAGGTAATGACTTGGGCCTCTACGTGGTAGTCAAATTCTTCTCGATTAGTCCGTACACATACAGTGTTTATGTTTATGAGATGAAGAATCCTATTGCTTTTCGATGATTTCTGGTAATTAATTTCAAAGTTATTGTCCTTGACCACTTTGAAAAATCTATAAGCTAAAGTTGGTCTTGAAATTTATATATTCATCAGACGAAGAATCCTATTGATTTTGAAATTTAACAAGTTTTACATGCTTTGTGTATGTTCTATAGAGCTTGGAAGCGGTCGTGTTCCTGACAATTACCCTACAGATTGTTGCCCTTGGTCAGTTTTTACTGTCCTGTAAAAGCTCCCGTCACCTACAAAAGAATGAACACACGACAAACTTATGGACTGATCGGTCGATTTATCTGTTGTGGGTGTGTTTCGTTGCCTGGCAATCAATCTTTCTGAGTATCGAGTATGTTTTTATTATAAATGTAACTGTCCGTTTCCCAGGTGAACCCGGTTGTGAATATGGTGATATGACCCCCAGATGTCAACAGATTAGAGATAACCCTAGCTTATGTTATGTACCAGATAATGCCAGATTCTGTTGTTCTACCTGTAAAACTATTAGGGACAACAATAATCAAGGTATGTTTAGAATATATATGTCTAGGGGTCTTTCGGGTGGGATAAAAAGCCGAGGTCCCGTGTATACATTGGCAGTTGGAATTCGGTGTACGGGTAGGCCATAGTGCCGCGGTCCGGGCAAAATTTCCTTCATAGAAGACTAGGCCGTATGCCGTCTTCATTAGCCCAGTCGGAGCAGAACAGTAGGACGTTAAACCCCCATTTCATTTCATTTTCTATTCTTCGGAACCTTAAAATAGACGAAAATGGGTCTAAAAAACACATAAATGTATATAAATAATTGTAATTTCTAATCATGTTCGTTGAAATACGTGAACTGTCCAAATTTAACAACAGTCGTTTATGCCTGCTTAGTTCATTCTACACGTTTTTTTAATATTCTTTTGTCGTTTGTGAATCGTGTCTTGCAGGATAATTTGTATTTGTTCATAACAAATGGCACAAAAAACCATAGCCAACACGTGTAGTGATCTTAAAATGTTCATTGTGCCTTAAATATTGGACATTGGGATCAAATAATTTAACGGCAAGTTAACAACACGGATATTGATTGAAATGGAACAATATTGAATTTTTATTCTAATTTTGAATATTTTGGGATTTTCCAGCCATTCTCGAGCAATGCAGCTATAATTGTGTTCTATGGAATGTCTTGTACATAATATATTAACATATTTTAGAATCCCGTGAGCGGGTTTGAAATATCAGTAATTATGGATCGATATGTTCATCTATCTTTACAGTCAAACATGTAAAGCTCCCACTTAGGTTATACAATATAGAAGGGTTTACCTTGTGTCCAGGCAATGTCGTAGTCGGCTACCTCCCAATTCGATTAAAATACAGATCTATATTTCGTTTCGTTTTTTATTATACTTTCGATGGCCTACACTACATGAAGATCTGACAAGTTGTACTGGAAGGTCGTGTTAGGTATCGTACGAGCGACTTTTGACCCTATGACGTCAGACATTGATTAATCAACCAGCGTTGGCGTTTCTAGTGGTTTACCCACAGTTCCGTGCATGACACGCCAAGAAGTCGCCGTACACACGTAACAGACTGTTGCATTGGCTTATCCCTGCTTTCAACCAAAACGCCAATACTATAACAACGCTTCCAGATAATAGTGTTGTAAAGACATGTAAAACGAAATTTTAAACTATAAAAAAAACGAAACGAAATAGGATCTGTGTTTTAATCAGATTGGTTACCTTCCTCTCGTTAATATACTTGGGCTAATGACGGACTTAAATATATTGTATACTCAATTTTAGAATGTCCGTGGGGTGACCACAACAGTAATTTATGTCATCGATACGGTCCTAGTGGTGAGGTAATGGTCAACTGTTATTCTGATCCTATTAAAAGATTATGTTGTCAAACCTGTGAAAGAATAAAAAGTCGTTATTCTGGACAATATTCGACTCCAGGTTAGTCCCATTTTATAGTGTATTCTATTCTAATGCGATGGTGACAGGAATCGAACCCGCGACCCCAGGAATGTAATCCATACATCACTATTGCAAGGCGTATTAATTACAGTGTTTGTTGCAGAAAAGTAAGGTATTAAACCAAATTTCATTTTCATGTATTGTGTTGATCGTGACAACGCATCTTGAGCTGCGTTTGAAGACACCAGGGGCCTGTTTCACCAAATTTTAACGAAGATAAAATCCCAATTTTAGTAATTTGATTGGATAATATTAGATTGATTTTAGTGCTTGGCCACTCAAAATTGAAGTATCTACTAAAATTTGGATTTTATCTTTAGTTAAAATTTCGTGAAACAGGCCCCTGGGCTAATTTCATGGGGTGATATTTTTGTTCCGAAAAACTGACTAGTGAGGGTGGGGACGAGGGGTACTGAATGGATGTGAACCGTTTTGAACGGATATTCCTTATAGAGATTCAACTGTGACACCATTGTAGTCTTTACAAAGGATTAAAAAAAAGTGTAGTCAATCACAAAATCGATAAATTATCAATGTATATATTAAATAATGCTGAATGTATGAATAATCAAGTAAATTCCATTTTTCCAGGTTGTGAGTATGGTGACCGTCCAGTTGTTTTTAATACTGGACGATTTGGTAGTCTGAACTGTACGTCTTTTATTCGTCAGTTCTCCATGGAACAATGTCAGTCTAATCCTGCTGTAGCTGAAAATTGCTGTTTTACGTGTCGCCGTTATCAACAGGGTTAACCACTCTACCATATTATATTTCTATATGATACATTATTATGTATATATTATATAGGCTATAATATTGAATTTGACGCTTTGTAAATACTATATGGCCATAGATATCTTTTCATGACACCTGTAATCATTGTTTTAATACCTATATTAGCCTACTCATGGTGGTTCATATATCGGATTAGGAGCTTAAGTTTTAATACATGTACAGAATTGAGCTCAACTGAACTATTTCTGGATATGATTAATATATTTTCTACATATAATACAATGTACACCTTCGAAGGCTGTGGTCAAATAGACTTCCATATGACTTCTTGCAGCACCCTAACCGCTTCGTCTTAACACAAGAATTGACTATAATTGGTTATACGTCAATTACCATAGTCTCGGTTCCGTGAATGTCAAAGACTAATCACGAGTTTTGGATTTAAAAGGCACGATCGGGGGCATCAATTAATCAGGAACCATTACAACTAACCAGTTCTTTAAACTTTTAAGAGTGCATACTGAGAAATGGGGCACTTATGTCGAATTAGCGAAGAGTACCGAATTACAATTTTTTCATCCGTTATTGAATATTCACAACCAAATTTGTATTAGACTAAGCCGGTTTACCATTGTGCTTTTTCTCGGATAATATTCACAATTAATCACGTGCAAACAACGCCATAAATTATTGACCTTGCCCTTTAAATCGGCTAATTCCTATCAAGAGGAAATAGATATAGTGTTTCAGCAGACGAGACAAAGTTTAGTTTCGGCCATCCAGAACCTCCAAGACTTCAACGGAGGGTCTGGTCTGGGTCGGTTGTCAACATTTGGCGAAATTTACTGGATAAACAACCACATTAAAAAAAACCACTCCCGGTTACGCATGGGCAATGGAACTTTTTAGCTAAAGTCATGGTGACGACGAATTATGGGATTAATAAAAAAAAACATAGACATGGTGCTTGAAGAGAGAAATTTTACAATAAAAAAAATAAGAGTGTTCGATATTGAACAGGCATTATAAATAGATTTTTCAGATACGACAATTCTTAGATTAATTTCACGGGCGTCGACATCTTGTTTTAGAGCTAGTTACCTCCCTTATATTTTGTTCATGATAATGTAAAAGACCGGATAATCTAGCCAATGACCTAGTTATTCTCAAATGTTGACCATCCAACTCTACGAATATTAATCTGAATGATCGAGATTAGACAAAGTTGAAACAACTCAACATTGGAAATTCGCACTTCATATTCACATACAAGAATACGGTGTTGTTTGTCTTCAGAGTTTGCATATTCATAATTCGGAAAGCTTATATTATTTAGTTGTAAATATTTTTGTATATTAGGTTTAATAAAAAAAAATTACTAACCTAAAAATTGTCTGCTTTATTTTATTTTCGGAGACAGGAACTGATCCTCAAGTGCTACCCAACATGTTCTTGTTGTTTTAAGGGACAACGCTCTTCGGAAAAAAAAGCCTACTGCTCCGCCATTTTCATGCACGATCGACATTAAACTTGGCATGCTTGTCCCTTGGACAATTGCAAACTAATGGAGGAAATGCGACTGAGATATGCCGTCAGAATTACAAGATGGCTGCGATGACGTCAGTCATTTCCTGGTCAAGAGTTAGTGATATCACGAAAGAGACAGTGTGGATTTTCTTGATAAATCGGTGTTTGGTTGTCACAACTAATAGTCATTGTCGTATATATCACTAGAGTACTGCTTATATGAGAAGACGACCCTATAGTGATGGGTGGGGTTGGACCGGTTCTGCATTACATGGTCAAGTTAATAACTGGTGAAACGGGGTGAGTTTGGTGATGAATGGGGCATGACCAGCTCAGAACTAAATGGTCAATGTGTGATGAGTAGGGCGAGGCCAGTTTCTGCACTACATGGTGAGATTTGTGATGGGTGGGGCGCGACAGTCCTGCATTTCATGATGGAGTTTCTCAAAGCAAATAATAACAAGAACGATAACTGCAACTTCATTTTTCTATTGAGAATTATTTTATCTACAATCAGCCGACAGACAATGTCAGACCGTGTCATTAGATTAATAAGGCATTCCATTATAAAAAAAAATTCCTGTACATTTTTACACTGTTCTTATAACATTCTCTATATAGTAATAACTCACACGTCTAGCGGTCAGCAACATTATTATAAAATATATCAAAAATAAACTCTGTATTAAACATGTACAGTATTACTACGCCGTGTAGCTATCTAGCTTACAATTTATGATTTCTGTACAAAATCGGGGCCCGTATACAAATAGTTCTACAGAAACTTAAAGTTGACATGAATTAAAATAAAAAGTTAACTCCGATCAAAAAGTTATATTTCATTGTATTGAACGAGCGGCGAACTTTCTTTTTTTTCACCATGTTTAAAAATTTCGGTGATAATACATTTTTTTTTCAACTTCATGTCAGCTTTAATGTCGTTAAATCGTGTGTTGAAAATTCCATGAATGATTTAAACTAAGTTAAATTAAAGGGGAGTGGAATCATGTGAATGTTTGAATCAGGACCCATTAAGGTACATGTACTACTTTTAAATAGTAAACAGCGCAGAGAAGACAGAACTCCCTACAAATTGATTGTTAAAGAATATACATAATAGTTACTGAAGGCCAGGTTGCGTAATGTTTTAACTTTGTCAATATACATGTTAAATATATACACTGTCATTTCATATCCTTATTCCTTTTACAATTTTATTGCACAGTTCTTTCATATCAACAATATTCCATCTTTCCATGCACCAATTAGTGCAAAACATAAAGGAAAAAAACAAACAAAATTATGCCAATTAATATCTTTTGAGCTGGGTAGCATTTAACACCGGGCGAAATGAGGGGTCCCGGCCAATATCCAACAATGCATAATTATTCCATTCGGAATATGTACTGCCCCTTTCACTTCGTTGACCATATGATCCTACTTTTTAACACCAGCCACATGTCTTGCTACCAACAGTCTGCTGATTTTATTTATAATAAATGGACTCCAAGCAATAACATTTAAATAAATTTACTAACGAATCCCATTTAACTCGTGGTCACGTAAAAAGGGTATAAATAATATGATTATTCACCCAATTGTCGATTGAACTCTTTTTCTTTTCTGATTTCACGTGCACTATGTTTTTCTTAACAATGGCCAAAGCTACGTTCAGGTAATCGTTAATACCTGTTCAGGTAATCGTTAATACATGTTCAAGAGAATATCAGGTTGATGAAGGCCATTAAATTGATATGTAAAGTGAGTAGACATGTCAAGTCAAGAGCACTGCTTAAAGGAACATTTTAGTTGCCCAAAAATATTTCAACGCATAACAAAGCATCCTAATCTCTAAATCAAATCAAACCAGTTTTATAGTCATGCCCCTTCCAACTTAACATGCAGCATTTGACAACATATATATATATATATATATATTTAGAGGTTCTGGGTTAAAATAATAAATGAATGTAGGTATCTTCCATTCAAAAAAACTATTTTCTTACGAAAAAGCGAAACGAAATTCACGAGGTCCATAATATAACACCTTAAAATTTCGCGTTCGGCTATATGATTCAAATCCACATACTTTGAAATGAACTTTAAAAAGTTCTAGTAATCTAGTAATTCGTCGAATTGTCATCTTCTACGTAAGTTGGAAGAGATCAGTCGGTTTTGAGCAAAAATTATAAGTTGATATATATATATATATTTAATATACTATATACATGTATATAGATCTGGATATGAAATCAGTTTTGATTTGACCTTTGATATAAGTCAACACCTTTGAGGTATTAATTAATTAATCAAATATAACGATACATGATTTTTTTAATTTTATATTACAAATAAGATCTGGCTTTGACTTTTATCATTCATCCGAGATTAGTCCAATATTTTAGTTCAATGTTTCACAAAACTCGACCTTTTATTAGTTTATTCAAAACACGTAGGTGATGAGGTCACATTGTTAGTTGTTCTAGTAAGATGTGATGTAACAAGTTCTTGTGTATCACATGATGTATATCAGAAACTAAGCAAACGCTAGTGTAGCACAAAATCCTTTCACTGATCACACATTTCAACACAAATTCATAAAAATCACTCACAAGAAAAAAGACTTGTGTATCACAAACACTCTATGGCGAACCGATTCGAAAGTAATACATTCAATTTCCATTAGTTATGTCACGTGGGACCGGGCATGTTTGACATCATGCCCAGATATGGTTGCCCAGGATTTCCCATCATACCCATAGGCGACATTTGCGGTTGACGAGGTTGATTATACATATGTTGAGGATACATCTGTTGTGGACCTGGTCCTGGACCATACGCTGGATTGTTTGGCATCATTCCTGACATTCCCATCCCTGGGTTGGATGGTCTCATCCCTGGTGGCATGTTACCCATCGACCTCTGACCCTGCATTTGCATGTGTTGGGATTGCATCATGGACGCTCTCATCATGTCCTGTCCATTGTTCACCATTCCTGGATTGACTTGACGACCATTACCCATCACATTAACCATTGGAGACATACCTCCCATGTTAGCCATAGAACTGCCCATACTCATGCCCATTCCAGCCATGATCGATTCCGGCATGCTACTCATTCCTCCAGGACCATTAGACATTGGATTCATTGAGCCTGGCATATCCATTCCTTGCATAGGACCGGACTGCATACCAACGGGTGCACCCATTGGGAATTCTGGTGTACTACTAGTTCTCATCATCATAGACTGCTGCATGGCTATCTGTTGCTGGTGCTGTTGCTGCTGGCTTGAGAAAGGAGACCCTACACCGGGAGGTCGCATTTGTGGATTCTGATTTGGTGGGAAGTAATTGAGATTAGAAGAAGGGCCTTTGCCATCCATGTACTGCTGCATAAATTCAAGTTCAGGTGGCCTTTTTGAAGGGCCCCCTCCATTAGGTTGATTATTTGGTGGATGAGCAGGTAGATACTGAATGGTGTTTGGAGCTTTGGCCTGAATCTGAACATTAGCATTTCCTACAGAATTCGGTGGATAGTTTGGTGAACTCATGCGATTACCCTGTTGCATCATAGGATTGTTATTAGGTCCTCCTCCTGCTCCCATAGCACTGTGTGGTGGACTTGAGAATCCTGGAGACTTTCCCATTGGCCTTGATCCTGGTCCCATTCCACTGTTGACCATAATGGATTGTGACTGGGACATAGAGGCTGCGATTGTCATGGCAGGCCCAGGAAGAGGACCTGAACCACCTGAAAAGGGTCCTGAATTACCTGGATGGGACATGGAAACTGGACTTGGGCCACCAGGCATTATTCTACCATGAGGCATTGGCCCCCCATGGCCATGCATGTGTCCAGGATGTCCTTGTGATGAAGGTAAATCGTGAGGTAATGGACCCATGCTTGACATCATGGAAGATGATTGTGACATTGATGCTTGATTCTGTATTGATGAAGGCACATTATGGGGACCATTATGTGGACCATTATGTGGGCCATTATGGGGACCATTAGGTGCACCTGGCGGCATATTTGACATACCATTGTTCATTTGTTGCACTTGCATGGATGGGTTATATCCCGAACCCGGTCCCTGTCCATTTGGAGCATTGACACTTTGTATATTTAACTGTTGTATAGACATTGTAGCATTCACATAGGTATTATTAACACTGGGCGTACTCTGAGTTTGTGGGACACTTGAAACACTAGATGATGTGGTTGGTTGTCCAACCTGTGATGATGAATTAACGCTATTATTATTATTGGTGTTATTATTACCACTGTTATTAGTACCGCAATTACTACCGTTATTATTGTTATTGTTCATTTGACCCTGAACTTGAATACTGTGGAAAGGGCCACCTTGCATCATATTTTGTTGCATTTTATTCGATAAATGTTCCACACCTTTTGCAAGGTTCACTATACTTGATGAGGTAATATGTGACATGGATGAATTAGCTGTAGGAGTTGTGGGAGCACTTGATATATTATTACTGGAAGGAGGATCAAAATGGGATAATCTCATATTAGCACCAGATATACCACCAGGACCCATCATGTTTGGTTGACCTGGCAATGGTCCAGGACTACCTAGAGGTCCAGCACTAGAGTTCTGACTTGAGTTTGATAAAGGACCTTTGTTATTAATACCAGGAGCATGCATGGGAGAGTTCACTTGATTTTGTAAGAAACCTGAATGAGGGTCACCAGGCATGCCTGGTTCGTGATATGCTGTGTTGGCCTGTTTAGTTATAGTCAGTTCCTGGCCCTCAAATTGGTTTAAGTAATTAAGTTGTTGAGGGGAGGGTGTTGGCTGTAAATTTTTGTAGATGTCTTCCATGTCATCTCTCTTACGCTTTTGTGCCTGTGCATATGTAGGCGGTGGCTTGTTGCTCATTCCATTCACATTACGCGGTGGTGCATCAGGACAAAATTGTTCAGGATTTCCAGCACGAAACAAACTAACATTATTTGAGTTTTTACCCCGCCTACTTGGTGGTAGCATTGTTGCCATATTTCGTCCTCCAGGCATATTGGGCATCATATGTTGATCAAATCCAGGGCCATGAGGTGGCATACCACCATTAAAATTAGGACTAATAGCACCTTGCATCGGATCCATAGGTCTCCTCATGGGTCCTGGAGGAAAGTTTCCCATATCTGGCTCCATGCCTGGACCCGGGCCCTGAATGTGAGGTCTGTTCATGTTTGGTGAGGTAGGTCCACCCATTCCTTTTTGCTCCATAGGATTATAATAAGGTGGAGGAGGTGGTCCATTACCCCCACCAGGGTCCATTCCCAAGCGCTGATGTTTGTATTTAGAATTATAAAACTCTTGTTGTAATCGATGCCATTCGCGTTGTGAGGGTGTCATATTTTGCATGTTTTGAGGGGGGTGAGGTCCAAACTGAGACATGTTCTGTTGTTGAGACATTAAAAATTGTTGTTGTTGATTTGACATCATTCCATGTTGGTTTCCCAACATACCTTGTTGTGACATGATACTTTGTCCCATCATGCCATGTTGTTGTGACATCATATTTTGTTGAAACATCCCATCAGGCATCATACCTGGGTGGTTTGGATTCTGACCCGGGGTTGGTCCAGGTCCACCAGGCCCGATGGGCCCACCTGGCCCAATGGGTCCACCTGGACCATCCATAAACACATCATCACGTTGTTCCGGAAATAACATTTCTTGAAATTTCCTTAGTTTCGCTAAGGAAGCACCACGTCTTTGCAATTGTTCCGGTGTTAAGTTTTCATTGGGCACTTTACTTTGTAGTAAGTTCATATTATTTGTATTATTCATACCACCTAAATGAAAGTCCTGATCAAAATCAAAATTAGGTGGTAATTGGTTCATTGATAACTGAGGCATATTTCCCTGCTGATTCATTTGATTCCAGTTCATCATTCGCGGATTATTATTAGGAGGAAATGGTGGGCCGTTTGGATGGAGGGGATTATTGTTCATGATCCCTTGTTCTTCCAGATGCGCGTTTTGTTGCTGCACCCATTGAGCTACACTGTTGTTACCCGGCACCATACCAGGTGGCATACCCTGGCCCTGGTTTTTCATCGCGTGCGGATTCGTATTGCGAATATTTCCAAACTGCTGCATACCACCAGGTGCTGTTGGACGGTTCATGTTGGGTTTCATAGGATTACGCTGGAAAATAAAGAAGAAAGTGTATAAGTTATGGTTATATTCTTTGAATGGCATTTAGTAATTGGAACATAATCAAAAACACACTTTTATGGATAACAATTACTATGGTTTATTTCACTGCGACGTTTCAACAAGGTTTCACAAGTCGTTATCAAGCATATATACAAATAGATAAAAAATGAGAAAGATATGAATATAAATACAAACATCAGTGTGAACTATCCAATGGAATGCAAGGTGAGTGAGCATGATTAATCCCCTGTTTCATCTTTTAATTGTACAATAAGCCCACTATAATATATACGATTATGCACCTTTGTTACATCAATAGCTTGTTATAGCTAATCATGCATGGGATCGAAACCACACATTCCACTCAATGACAGAACCCAATAATATTTACCAATTTAAGTGACTAAAGTCACCTGTATCAAAGTTAAGAATAAAATACTGCAAAAATGTATTTTTATGACATTCCATTCAACCACCAAGTGTTAGTGAAAGAGGGTGTCACTAAAGGTAACTAATTATATTCCCTGATTTCAACAATGGGGAGGAAATTACTGGTCTGAATCCATGTATAAAATAGAGTTATGTCCCTTTAATCAAACCAAGTTCAATTATAGTTATTGTAGCATTGCTTTGGAAACTTGTTTATACAGAATGTGTAAACATAGCATATCAAATCATTCCTCATATCAGGGCCCTGTTTCTCGAAATCTTAACTAAAAATAAAATCCAAATTTTAGTAGATACTTCAATTTTGATTGGCTAATCACTAAAATCAATCTAACATTATCCAATCAAATTATTAAAATTTGGATTTTATCTTAGTTAAAATTTTGTGAAACATGCCCCAGGGCCTTATATAATAAAATATAACACACACCTGAAGAAACTCTTTAGTTTTTGGGTTACCCATATGGAACTCTATAATATTTTTACATTGACCCTGAAGAACCATTTCAGCTGCCCTGTTGGCAAAATCGGTAGGAAAGACAAAAATCTGGCTGTGTTGCTGCATAAAAGGTGGATCATTGGTCATCTGAGCTAAAGCATTCATGGGACCACTCTGTGCCCCTGGCGTAGTTTTTCTAGGATAATCACTACTCGAAACTGGGGCAAATGGTTCATCTTTCACTGAAAAAATAACAAAAACATTTTATTTATATAGCAGTGATAGGAAAATACAATGGACAAATCTAAAATGTAATGGATTCTATTTTCAGTACATTTTTTCAGTGGTAGCTCCATCAACATCTAAATAAAATCCCAAGAAGCTTTCTCGGAATGAACCCAGTCAGTGGTTGGTGGGCCACTGAATTGAAATGGGGTTTAACATCCTACTGTTCTGCTCCTATACTGGGCTAATGAACACGGGCATACGCCATACAGTGAGCTATGAGGGAAATTTTGCTCGGGCAGCGGCACTATGGCCTACTCTTATATTGAATTCCAACTGTCAAGGGATCTTTTACGTCCACACCAATGTATACTCAGGACCTCGTTTTTTTGTACCATTCGAACAACTAAACAGCCGCCTTGTCAGGCCCTTCGTCCTGCATCACTGACAAGGGGGAAACCACATAGGAAAATCCTGATGAACTTTTTCGGCTAATGGAGGGATCGAACATGCAACCTCCAGGCTAGCGAGCCAGCGTCTTACCCACTTAGCCACCGTGGGCCACTGTGTCTCCTGCTAGATGTTATGAATATGTGTACATAGAAGACTGGTACTCATATCTTATCTTACGAGAGAGTTGTTTATTAGGATTCCAAAAACGTTTTTAAATGAATAAAATCAAATAAACATTATAAATACCTTGATTAGTCAGTTTTTCATTTGGTTTGACATTCTTATTATCTTCTGTTTTAATTGTGACATCTAATAACAAAACGAAACAAAACACATTTATTTCAGATAATACTCCTAACTAACATCACAATGATCCTGCTACAACCCTGAAGGCCGTGAAAATTTGCAAAAACAGGTTCCAAGAGTAAATAATACCGGCAGACTCCCCTCATTCCTCTTTTTTGAATCTACAACTTGGCAATTGATGTCTGGTATTTTATGAATTTTACCCAAATAATTAGTTTATTCAAGATTCTTGCTATAATATTTTAGCACCGCAGAGCAGTAATCTTTACTGGAATGCAGGCGTTCTATAAATTCATTATATTATTATATTAATAAAATAGATAATGAAAAAAGAACATATTGACAATTTCTGTCAAATTACATTATTTTGTGCTAAGTTAACAAGGTTTTGAAATTTTGACCAAACGTAGCATCAACTGATTGTTATCATAGGAGCAGTAGTTGAAAGATAGGTTGCCAGGCAATGAAACATACGCCCACAGCAGCTAAATCGTCCAGGCAGTCAACAAGTGTTGTCGCATATTTTTACTTTTTTCGGTAAAGAAACATTGATAATACACTAAAACTTTTTCAAAGTGATCAAGGGCCATAACTTTGGCAGTAATTAATCGGAAATCTTTGAAAATGAATAGACTTCTTCGTCTCATGACCTTAAACACTGTGTATAAATTTAAAGTCAATTGGATATTAACTTTAGCCTCTAGAGCTTCCACAAGATTTTTTGAAGTGATCAAGGGCAATAACTCTGGCAGTAATTATCGGAAATCGCTGAAAATCAATAGGCTTCTTCGCCTCCTGACCTTAAACACTGTGTATAAATTTAAAGTCAATCGGATATTAACTTTAGCCTCTAGAGAGTCCACAAGATTTTTTGAAGTGATCAATGGCCATAACTGTGGCAGTAATTATCGGAAATCGCTGAAAATCAATAGGCTTCTTCATCTCATGGCCTTAAACACTGTATATAAATTTAAAGTCAATCGGATATTAACTTTAGCCTCTAGAGCGTCCACAAGTAATTGTGGACGCCGGCCGGACGGACGGACTGACGGGGGCGACGACAATATACGACCACATTTCAATGTGGGCGTATAAAAATGAGACCGAGTCTCGTTTATCCATTTTATTGTTAACTACATATAACATTTGAAGCTAAGAAAAGGACCTGCAATAGGCATATTTAGGGAAAACCCATAAGGTTAGAGGAGGGGGGGGGGCTCAATGGTCTATCATTGAGTCAAGTGGTGTGATTTTGATTCACTGCTTCTACGTGACAAAGAGTTGGGTGGACTGTCCAACACCGTGGGTTTTCTCCGGGTACCCCGGTTTCCTCCTACAGCTAAATACCCCTACAAGCTAGCGAGTTATTGAAGTGGAGTCGAACCATATGTTGGTCCCGAAATGACCTGGTTTGTGTCAAGTGGATGTTAAACCCTATTTCTCTCTCTCATAAGATTTAGACAGCGACTACTATGCCGCTTGACTCAATGACTGGTATTATGATTTAAAGCGCATGATGGGGTTTTGGAGCTGGATCATTCCAGGTCTCTAACAACACGACCACTATATATATATTACTACAGTACCTGCTTCTCCATTCGTAATCTTCCCCATCGGTACTGGTGTTTTATTTTTATTTCTGTCACTGCTCGGAGGGGTGGGATCGTCACTCAATATTTCCTTGAGTTCAGGGTTGGCTTCTGGAGTAATGTTTGGGCTAATAACCTCGTGATTATTCATATTGTCAGAAGAGTCTTTTAACATAGCTGCCAACTCGAATTCTTCTTTAAGTAACACTTCTTTCTTGAGAATGTCCAGGGATTTCTTGTCACTCTCCCGGTTATTCTGAAAAATAAAAGCAGTAAAATTACATTACACCATATTAGAAGTAATGAAATAGGGTTTAACATCCTACTTTTCTGCACTAAGCATGCACCAAGCAGACAGGTGTAAATGAAGACAGGTGTATATGCCATGCAGTGTGTTGTGAGGGAAATTTTTGCCCATACATCTGCACTTCTGTCTGCTCCAAGTCAATGGATCTTTTACATGCCTACCACCAATTTTATGAGTGGAACTTGTTTTTTGTCCCATCCAAATGACAAGACATTTTCCTTGCCAGGCCCTCCATCCTGCACCACTGACAATGAAAAACTAGACTGGACAATCCTGAGGAACTAACTTGACTACCGTAAAATTATTTCCCACTCGCCCCTATCCAGGGAATGTGGTAGTTACCCCATTGCCGTTTATATCATTTTTGACGCAATATTTCTGATCTAAGTTAATAAAATGACCTACCTCCAACTGAACCTCTACTAAAGGCAATAGTTGTTCAGTTAAATATCTGTAGAGATCCCTTTCTGGTAGATTGGTAGTTTTTCGAAACTGTTTTATAAATATCTGCCAATCGGATAAGCTTACACAAACCGTTTCCCATACTTTCTTTCCACATTTCTTATTCGCATGTTCTCGATAAAGTCGGAGATCTGGAAAATATAAAAAGAACACAATAAATATTTTTTGAATGATAAGGGTTATATTTTGATATATACTAATTTTACATATAATTTGAATAGGTTGGGTTGTCGAGTGGTCTAATGCGTAAACTTTAGATCATAAGGTCTGTCACTGAATCAAATGGCTTGGTTTGGATGCCAAGCTTGTATGTGATAAAGAGTAAAAGCACCAGCCCAACATCATGGTTTTTCTCCTGGTTATCCGTGATACAACTGTATCATAGTTCGTTAAACCCCATTCTCCTCTCTAATTTTGATGATTAAATGACGTTATGTTTCATAAATAATAAATATGTTTCGGATAATTTTGGATGTAAAAAAAGGATTTATTTGGATATAAACACCATACGCTATACTAATTCTACACATGATTTATTAAAATTAATTAATTTTTATGTCCAACCGTTGTATGTTTCACTAAACCATGATGATTAAATGACTTAATATGTTTCATAAATATTAAATATATCTCTGATAACAATAGAAACGTTAACAATGCAACCGTATATCTATGTTTTACTTAATAAAAAATTTATTGATTCAACTCATGTCAGCGAGTTTATTATTAATCAAATATCATGTAACTTTCATTTAATAAGTGAAATACAATGTGCGATCACCGACTCCCAATGACAGTTATCAGCAACTGTTGGTATGTTGATTATAGTTGAATGTCATTGGCTGTATTATCATACCAATGAAATGAAATGGGGTTCAACGTCTTAAAGAAGGACATGGGCATTGAGCTATGAGGGAAATTTTGCCCTCACAGTGGCTTTTCTGCATACCCTTCAATGAATTCCAACTGGTTTTGACATGCATACCAACAAGTACTGGGGTCAACCTCAGTTTAGCGACTACCAGGTCTTTCACCCTGGGAAACCAGACCGGAAAACTCCCAAGGAACTTTCTAGGCTAAAACCATGGACCTCCTTGTCAGTAAGCTAGCACCATACCCAATGAGTCTCTGTACTTTCCATTATCATAAAACACCAGACCTCATTTTGCATTCATGAATAACATTTGTAAATGAATCAGAATTGCAGTTTCAGAAAATATACAATAACTATATAACAAAAAGAGAGTGAGAGAAATCTAGTTTAACATCCACTTGACACAAACTTGGTCATTTTGGGACTAACACATGGTTTAATTTTATTTAAATAATTTGCTTGCACATAGGGATAGGGGTCTTTAGCAGCATAGAGGTCTTTAGCAGTGGGAGGAAACTGGAGGACCCGGAGAAAACCCACAAGGTTGGACGGGAGACCCTACTCTTTGTCACATACAACCGGGGAAACGAAACCACGCCAGTTGACTCAATGACAGACCTTATGATACAGCGTGCACACGCTAACCATTCTGCCACACAACCCCCCTATATAACAAAGAAATCCATTGATAAAATTTACAAAATTTGGACTTTGATACAATAAAAGTAACAAAGAAATCCATTGATAAAATTTACAAAATTTGGACTTTGATACAATAAAAGAACAAACTCAAAAAATAAAGTTTTAATAATACAACTTTTGGGCTTGGTTTCAGTGCAATCAAGCTATTTAACAGAACAATCTTTAAGCCGTATTGCATATAAATCTTACTAAGAATAATCGTAGCTATTACAACAAACATGACGAAGGCAATCATAATTGCGTTTGAATGTCGACTTTACGTTAACATACTTTGAGCTTTTGTGATCAAAAGATTAAGGATCATTTTGAAAAAGATAATTTGAACATATGTTTGTTTACTGTTCAATACAAATACAGTTCTCATTCACAGATCTAAAAAACTTTAAATTCTTGTGTTATTTATCTAAGATAAGTGGGCCGAGATAACGGCAAAAATCTTTAAATATTGTTTAAATCTTGTCTGGGCTGTCGCTATTTCTATCTCTGAGAAGAAAAGATAGTTTTCTAGGCATAATAGATTTATGATCGGCAACTGTTTGGGACGCGGTGTAATAATGAGTAAAATTATATGAAAGAAAAGAATGAAGTATTGATTCGCCAGATACTATTATAACATATTAAGTTGAATCTTTTGTCTCTGGAAACAGACGAAAAAGCAGAAGAAACCAACAAAACAATAATGTAATTGGTGGGAGACCATTGCCGACGGTTTCCACAAACAAGTAATGGTGTCATTGACTTGAAAGCTTTCCTATAGATTCCATTAAACACAGGGTAGTCGTAGTCTGGTGCTTGATATACATTGATTGTACATATCTGATATCAGAATTCCTCTACGACTATCATGGAGACCAATCATTATGTCTGACTACTTCCAACACCAACTCGATCAATTCATATCGCAATCAGACCCAAACAGAATCTCTTTTTTGTTTTAAATCAGTCTCTGTATCTTAAATGACAATCAAAGCCCACTTCTATTCCTCCAATATACTCTTGATTTAAAAAAAAAAAATCAGCATCTATAAAACACAGTGATCACCATTTGCATTTTTCAGACAAGATCTAATTTTTTACAGCTTAATCCGTGCTAAAATGTACTGAAATTGATTATTTAAGATCTAATTAAGAAAAACAAAAACAAAATATCAATGATAAATAACCTCCCAGCTTGTATTTCATTGGATTAGACAGACTACTAATGACATTATATCGTCTTCAAAATGCTGAATGCTGCAAAATTTTCAATTCACCCTTTGTAAATACTGAACAGAAATTAACGATTTTTGGACTGATCTTCCATTTAGAGATTCAATTTTCACAATATCGCAGCTTGTAAGAGATTCAAATTCCCACAAATGATGGTCAGTGGCTTCAAAGCATTTGTCAATTTTTGGTGTAACTTGTGTGAAGACTCACATAGATGTAGACTCTTTTGTAGAGGTCTGCCAATGACACTGACAATAAAAGCAATTATTGATACAAAACTTATTTTGTAATTTACAGCTAAAGGTCATCCAGTATATAAAACCCACACAAATCTGTAATACATCTGTTAACATTTTTATTGTTCACAATAATTCTAAATAAAACATTCAGCAACTTCTTTTTCCATTTCAAATGTTCACCCAGAGTTCAATTTCATCAACTAGGCATATTCAAATATACACTACCCACTCTAATAATATTCAGACAATATTATACCCAACTTGTTTTCTCAATTCTCAAGTTTTTCACTGATTATTTAAAATGATATTATTGTAGTTTTCTCACACTTTTGTAAATTTATTCTTTGAAACATTTAAAGCACTGTGTAGAAATCATCTCCCACCCACACTGATCTCTTGACCATATGGAATTAGTCAGATATGGGATGTTCTTTTCAAATCGTTACAATCCCAAATTCAAGTACTTCTATCAAATTATAACAATTTTTTTTAAATTCAAATTTGTAAATAATTGGAGTAAAGTGGTGCAATGTTTGAAGACAAGTGGATAAATGAATGTTTTTATATAGAGAGAAATGATACAAGGATACATCTCGTCCTTTTATTTACATACCCTAAACCACCTCATATTATATACATCCACCCAAACCATCTCATATTATATACATCATCCAACCAAACCCTATACCTACTCTAGTAGTAGTATACTACTGTATATCATATTACATACATCCAACCAAATCCTACTCTAGTATACATATACTACTGTATATCATATTATATACATCCACCCAAACTCTATACCTACTCTAAATACATATTATACTATTGTATATCATATTATATACATCCAACCAAACCCTATACCTACTCTAGTATACATATACTACTGTATATCATATTATATATATCCAGCCAAACTCTATACCTACTCTAATATACATATACTACTGTATATCATATCAAATACATCCACCCAAACTCTATACCTACTCTAATATACATATTATACTACTGTATATCATATCATATATATCCCCCCAAACTCTATACCTACTCTAATATACATATACTACTGTATATCATATCAAATACATCCACCCAAACTCTATACCTACTCTAATATACATATACTACTGTATATCATATTCTAGTATACTACTGTATCATGTACCTACAATAGTATTATGTACCTACACTGCTGTATTAGTGAGTACAAGGAGACCCCGCATTACACATAAACCATTACAGAAGACGGTCCTACAAACAATATACAGACACCACAAACAACAATTACACATATCAGATCAAGTGAATGGATACAGGGGTTAGCCATAAGCGTCAACTGAACTAGACAAACTCTATGCACCTACCTAGAGAGTCTCAGAAACTACAGACTAAGTAAATCATTTGTGGTGTAAGTATCCTACCTAGAAACTAAGTACATCATTTGTGGTGTAAGTATCCTACCTAGAAACTAAGTACATTATTTGTGGTGTAAGTATCCTACCTAGAGACTAAGTACATCATTTGTTGTATAAGTATCCTACCTAGAAACTAAGTACAGTTGTTCTAGTGTCAGTATCCAACCTAGAAACTCAGTACATCATTTGTGGTGTAAGTATCCTACCTAGAGACTAAGTACAGTTGTTCTAGTGTCAGTATCCTACCTAGAAACTAAATATCCTACATCTTTGCTGGTGTAAACATCCTACCCAGTACTATGTACACTTTTTCTGGTATAAGTATCCTCTGATTTATAATCACTGATAACATAAATCAATTTAAAAGTAATTAATGTTTTTAATATGATTGTGATTCATCCATAATGAAGTCATTAGATGACCTTACAGGTATTTATAGGTATTCAGTAAGTAAGATAATAAAGTACCTATGTAATAATATGAAAAGTGATTAGTCTATGAGTAATACCTGTATCACTACTTAAAATATGCGTAGACATGAATTTTAAATTTAGAACATTTTATTGACTTTTGATATTCATCTTTTCGGAAACTGTTAAATACTTTGTGTACCATATATAGAATGAACTTATATAGTAAGTGCAGAAGGACCACACTACACGCAAAACAAAACCTACAAGATA